CCAAGGTCACTGTGGTTCTAGAGCAAAGCACATGGGGGCACATTGGCAAAGGATGAGGCTTGAGGGTGAAGTGCTGCGGATCTCGGCTGCAGGCCACAGGAAGAAACTGAGTCTTCCTGATAGAACTTTGCAGAGAAGTACCATCAGATTCGCTGCATTGGGTCAGGTTTCCTGACACACACTCTGACACAAGAGACTGTTTTTGGGAGCATGCAAAGGATGTGAGGAACAGAACTAGGCTGTGAAAGAAGTTGGTCTAAGATGCTGTTATCACTGGGGCCAGGAGATGACTCTTCAGAGTTGTCCCAAAGCTAGTCACTGGATGCACGTTGCCTCCTGAGAAGAGACTGTCCCAGGCAAGACAGCCACTTCCATTCACAGATGATTCCCAGACACAGACTGAGCACCACACAGGTAACAATGCTCTACCCTGGACTGCAGGTGAGGTGCACTGCAAGGCATGTAGCAGCTGGTCTCCAGGACAACTGTCTGGAGGCTCCTGCCCCCTAGTCTGACTGTCACCATAGCTGCTTGTCTCAGGGCACGCCTGAACCTCCACTTGCACATTTACTACCAAAGGAAGACTTCCTCCCCACCAGCTGGTCAGTTCTTGGCTCAGCAGCCTGAATCATCCTGAATGATCAAACAGGTTGGATCTTGTTGATTCTCTGTGCACAGCCCATTTAGTAGTCATTCCTATTCATTTCAGAACAAAAGCCAAAATTCTTGCTGCAGTTTACATGGTCTTGCTGGAGTCTAGATCTCTACCCTCATCCTCTGCTGTTCTACTCACCACTTCTAGTATAGTTTCCTTGCTGGAATCCGCTTTCTGTGGAGAACTGAAGAATTTCTTCTTTCACTTCCAGGAGATCCCTGACCAATCGGTACAGTCAAACTACACAAGGATCAGAAAACATTGGACCAGTGGTTTTCAACCCGTGGGTGAATACACCTTTGACAAACCTCTTTCTCCAAAAACAAATTTACATTATTATTCATAACATTAGCAATGCAGTTATGAAGTATCAACAAAACTAATTTTATGGTTGGGGGTCACCACAACATGAGGAACTGTATTAAAGGGTCACAGCATTGGGAAGGTTGAGAACCACTGTCTTGGCCTGAGATGTGAAGAAGTGCATCTTCTGGGTAAAAGGTTGCCTTCTGCTAGTAAGGGTATAGGTATTTATTCAGAAGAAATCAACTATTGGCTAAAAATGCAAAAGCAATCATTTAAATGGTCACATGGCTAGGGCAATGTGTGCCTAAGCAGAGGATTTTAGAGCCTTTGAAAAGGATGGCTAGATAGTTTTCAAGGCTTCCCAGCCACCATCATCAACAAGTAAATGTAGCAGTGATTAGCCAGGTAAGACCATTTCCTTGAAGAAGAGAATGACCAGTTGAGGGATGCAGAGAAACACTAATGATAAGGAATTAGAACTGGAGTTAGCTATGGTGGTACACAGCTGTAGACCTAGCACTCAGGAGGGTGAGGCTGGAGAATCGTGAGATAAAGGGCAGCTTGGTTATACTACAGAAGCAAGAACCAATGACTAAGAAAGAAGAGACGGAAGGAAAGAGAGGGAGGGAAGAAGCAGACACGATAGCAGGTGCACTGTGGTGATATTTTGTTCATGATATAACAGATAAAGCTTGCCTGAAGATCAGAGTGCAAAGCTAGCCACAGTAGTCAGCCATACAGGCCAGGCAGTGGCGGCACACACCTTTAATTCCAGCAGCCACATTAGTTAGCCACAGAGGCCAGGAAGTGGTGGTGCACACTTTTAATACCAGCACTAGAGAGGAATATAAGACGGGAGGAGACAGGAACTCATGGAGTCTGAGGTTTGGTGGAGACAGGATCACCCATTTCGGTCTGAGGTAGAAGTAAGAGCTCCTGCCTGGCCTCTCTGCTTTTCTCATCTTCAGCTTTAGCTCCAAAATCTGTATCTGGGTTTCTATTATTCATGCTAGAGTGTACTGAGTAAGAATCAGTAAGAGGGACCCTCCCATGGAAGAAATGGGCAGGCCTTTGGAAGTGGCAGTAAAGGGACACAGAGACCTACAGACACAGGGAGTGAGCCCTAGCAAGGAAACGGCAGGTCGATCCTAGGAGCAATTTTGTCTTGTTAACAAATTTAATATCCTTTTCTGTACCTTATTAGGCTAAATTCTACGTAGTTTGCTATGTCTTAGCTGCAACTGGCAGGACAAGAGGGAGGGACAGCAGAAGGTGCTATGGGCTACGAATAGTAAGAGTGCAGATGCCGAATGGGAAGGTAAGGCAGCATCTGGAACAAGTAGCCAGTGTCTGACATGGAGTTGTGCATTTGGAATACTCAAACACAAAGAAAAAGAAATGTCCTTTCCTGCCTCCAGCTGAGTGCTAGGATTACAGGTTTGTGCTATCATGCGAAACTTTCAAGGTCAAATGTAGATTCCTGGGTCTGGAGAGATCGCTCATCATGGTGCTCTTGCAAAGGACATGAGTTCAGTTCCCAGAACCCATGTCAGATGGCTTACAACTACCTTTAAATCCAGCTCCAGGAGATCCAGCATCCTCCTCTGGCCTACACACACATTACGGCACAAACATACACATTGTCATATTTTGGGTTTTATTGCTGTGAAAAGATGTCATGGCTACGGCAACTTTTACACAGGAAAACATTTATTTGGGGCTGGCTTACAGGTACAGAAGTTTAGCCCATTATCATCATGGTGGGAAGTATGGCAGCATGAAGGCAGACTTGGCACTGGAGAGGTAGCTGAGAGTTTTGTATCAGGATCCACAGGCAGCAGGAAGTGACTGTGACACACTGGCCAGGTTTGAGCAACTTAGTCCTTAAACCCCACCCCTTAGTGACATACTTCCTCCAACAAAGCCAAACCTATTCTAGTGTCACACCTCCTAATAGTTCTCTATGAACCTATGGGGGCCATTTTTATTCAAACCACAACACATAAATATAAAAACAACACACCTGTTTAAAAGGCATAGAATCCTTAGCAATATATGTGATCTGGCATCTGTCTATTCTATTTGCATTAAGGTTTTACCAATCTGTTTAAATCTTCCTAGCAGACATCTATCTATGTCTTGGGATTTTGTTGTTTTATTTTTTACTTGAGAGTGTCCTTGAATGTCACTTCCTCTCCTTGTTAATTACACTCTTTGATTTCTGTACGCAACTGTTTTTCCACCCCCAGAAGTATCCCAGCTAGTGAGTTTAGGGCTAAGTTAAAATATCTGTTGCTTTGTGCCGCCATAGCACCCTGGACAGCCATTTCCTAGACACTGGTCAATGGCAATCAGAGAAACAGGCATCCTAGTTTGCATCTGCATAAATCTAAACCCCTATTAACTTGTTCATGTCATGAAACCATGAACACCTGGACAGTACAGATTGATTATATGCTCATTAGGTTTTCAAGGCTTTATTTCTTCAGTTATACTAAGATGGTTTTGGTGCCTAGCTATAGTGTTCAATATAACCAAGTTGTTTAAATATTATTGTATAATGCATTCTGTCCTATTTCAGTCTCATACAATTCCCTTACTCAACTATACCATATATATATATATATATATATATATATATATATATATATATATATATATATACACACATACACAGACCACTGAAGGTCTTCTAACATGCTGGCCAAGTTTACTGATTACATTTAGTCTGCCCTTCACCAGTATCATCTTGTCAGGCTGTTTCAGCCACTTGTGTATAGCAATACCTTTGGAAGTGCCTGGCACATAGCAGATACTCAGTAAATATATATTAAATGAATAGGTTTGCCAAAATAAGAATTCCTCTTTGGGAGCTCACTATCTTGTTTTCTGACGCTGACTTTGAATTCATGACTCCCCTGCCTCAACCTCCTCAGTGCTATTACAAACATGTGCCTAGATCTAATTCTTTATTCATAAAATGAAAATGTATGGATAGCAAAAGGCCATTGCTAATTTTCTTAAGGGCACACGTGCGCGCGCGCACACACACACACTTCCTTGCTGACAGCCAATTATTGCTGAGGACAACTTCTCTAACAGATACATAGAAAGTAAATATGAGTGTTTTGCTGCATGTGTAAATGTGTGCCACATGCCCACCTGGTGCCCTCAAAGGTCAGAAGAGGGCATCAGATCCCCTAGAAATGCTGTTATGGTGATTGTGAGCTGCCTCGTGGGTGCTGGTAACTAAACCTGGGAATCCACCCCGGGGAATCAGACACTCTCTTCTAGCCTCCAATGGCACTTGTGTTTATGGACACCCATGCTCATACAGACACAATCTTTAAAATTTGTAGAAATTATTCTTCCTTATTGCATTGTGTACACATATCTGAGAAAGGAGTATACAGAAGTTGGTGACATCTACCAAACAGCCATATGCTTAATCTTTTAAATCTGTGTCTTGTCTTCAGAGTTCTTATATGGAGGAGTCCTAAAGTTACCCCATAGTGTTGTGACAGTATTGTTTACTCAAATTTTCAGGACATGATGTCTTAGTCAGTGTCTAAGATAGTTCCCAATGGTCTTTGCCCCCTGGTAGTCACTCTGCAGAGAATAACTGAATATTCTGCATACCGGTATTCACTCTACAGAGTCTGTGTGATCAATTTACTAACAGACAGAATGTGTCTTCATGAAAGTGTCAGCCATCTCAGTATGAAATGTAGAATGCAGACTATTCACCACCAAGCCTTCAGATAACTGGAACCCCGTTGACAATCTGCCTGCAACTTCCAGAACTTGAACCAGAACTCCACTCCCAAACTCATGACCTGTAGTAAAGTTTGAGATAGTAAATGATTAGTATTGTTTTAAGTATTCTGGATATGTAATGGATAACAAATATACAAATCTTCCCCCCTTTCCATTTAGGGTTGAGCATCAACCCAAGACTGCCCATTGGTATACAAAATGTTCTATCATTGAGCTTCATTCATTCACAGCTAAAATTTCTTTCAACGGAAACAAAATTTGATTGTGTGTGTTAAGTTTTTATTAAGTACACACAACGGTGGAATACAGCTTTCACATGATTAAACGAAATAAAAATTTCAAATAAAAAAAAAACACACCAAGAACATTGCAAAACTACCCAAAGATAAAAGCAATTGTAAGGGGCTGAAGAGATGGCTCAGTGGTTAAGAGCTTTTACTGCTCTTCCAGAGGACCCACTTTCAGTTCCCAGCATTCAAATCGTGTTGCTCATGACCACATGGAACTCCAGTTCCAGGGGACAGGATAGGCCTCCCTGGCCCAGTATACACACACAAATGAAAATCAAATTGATCTCAACAAAAGTCAGTCTTAATATAGTCTTGGGCTGAGGATGTAGCTCTCAGTTGGTAGAGTGCTTGCCTAATGCAGATTAATAAATCCTGGTTTCCAGCCCAAAGCACTGCATAGAAACCACATGTGGTGGAGCAGGCTTGTAATCTGTGCACTGTCGAGGTGAAGACCGATGGATCAACGGTTCAAGGCCATCCTCAGCAGCGTAGTTTCCATCAACTACTGGAGGTGGATCTTCTGGAAACCCAGCCCTCTCACACACTTGGTCAAGTTGGCTTCCTCAACTTGTAGGAACTTTTCAAAGTCACCCGGTAGGCACGACTCTCATTCCTGTTCTTCTGACAATTATCCTCCTGAGGAGCGCATGGGCACCCAGCACCTAGGGCGGCAGCTGCTTCCAGGTCTCGACGGATCAGATGAGATGGACAAGGATGGATTATGGCACTGGGAGCCAAGGAATACCACAGGTCACAGTAAGCATAGCACCGCGTTGTCCTCCGCCCTCGCTTTCCGTCCTCCTCACCTGGCGTTGTTAACTGAGGTATAGCCGGGAACTCCCCGCAGCCCTCCTTAAGGGGATATGTTGGGGGAGCACATTACTTTCTCGTTCAGCGTTTAGACATCGTGTAACCCTGCCCAGGCTGGGGAACGGCTCCTCGAGGTCATGCGCCCTGCAGTGTCACCTACTGCTGAGGGAGTCGGACAGCAACTCCAGCAGTGACGTGTAGGCTCCGTTTGCACAGTGCCCGCCTCAACCACTGGGGAGCACTAGCATGAGGGCGACTGCGCATGCTCTGTGTGCTTCCAAGGACCAGCGATCGGAGGAGAGACGCGCGTGCTCTCTGTGCTCTTCGCCTCCGCCAGCGCATATGCCCACGGGAAATGTAGTTTCTAGGACTTGGAATATTAGTCACGCTTCCTGACTGGACTCAGCGCGGGACTACAGCTCCCGGCCACCCGGCCGACGGCGGTGAGAGGACGCGGACTAAAGGGCGGGGCGAGAGCGAGGAGGGCGGAACGGGTGGGAAGGCCGCGCGCGCGGGGGCGGGGCTTCGGCCGCGAAGCCGCTGCCGCTTATGGTCCGGACCTGAGGCGCGAGCTGAGGACACAGCGCCGGGCGCGGGCGCTGCCAGTGGCACTCGGTGATCTTAGGTCCCCTCGCTCTCTGCCGGGACGCAGGAGAGAGCAGCGCGCGGCGGGGGCGCGAGGTGGTGCGGGCGGGGGCGGCCAATGCGAAACTGGCTAGTGCTGCTGTGCCCGTGCGTGCTCGGGGCCGCGCTGCACCTCTGGCACCTCTGGCTGCGCTCCCCGCCGGCCCCCCGCGCCTCCGGGCCCGGCGCGGCAGGTGAGGTGCGGGGCTCGGCGGCTGCGCGCGTGGGAGGCCGCGGGAATGGCCGGAGGGGCACCGGGCGGGTGCGGACGTCCCGGGACGGACTGAACAAACGGGTCTTTTCATCCGCGTCGGGCGAACTCGACTGTGCGTTTCTTTCCCAGCGTGTGCTCAGCGGCCCACGCCGTACTCGAGGGCCTTGGTCACAACTTGGGGGGCTTCTTTCCGAGAGGGGCCGCGAGCGCGCCGGTGCTGACGGTGCTGGCTTTGCATGTCAGAACTCACTTTGCAGTGAGGAGGGACTGACTGTACTTTGTGTTCTCTGATCATGAGCTGAGCCGGTGAAACACATCCAGACGTGGACTAGGGAGCAGCTCAGAGTGGAGTCCTCCCCTGCTGTTCTGCTTGGGTGGCTTGCTAATAAAGGAGCCTGCGAATACCGGATTCTTTAACTCTCGGGTTCATTTGTTCCCAAACTTAATCCCTCGTGGGAATGAAATCTTTGTTCTCCTACGCTCAGTGTTGTCCCACCACCCTGAACACTACCTTAGGGTCTCCTGTATGTCTTTCTCAAGTTTTTCCCGGAGAGCTTATATAAAGAGACCTAGATGGCTATTTTAAAGATAAGGTAATGCCTGATTTGTTTTGTTTTAACTACATTAGGATTTATCTTACCACTTATATTCAAACAGCTGTTTTCTCTTCGGAAAGTTTAAAACAGGCCTTCACAGTCAGCATAGGGCTGAGCCTTATATCGTATTTAGCTGTTACCAGATTACGCTGCAGTTATTTTAGTAATGATCTCTTTTCCTATTAGAGAAGCCACCAATTTTTGGAAAGGTTATTTGTGTGACTGAAGAGAATTAACCACCGAAGTGATGTAATGAAAGCGCACCATTAATGTGTATTTAGCTTGCTAAACAGGTGGGGCTTTTACAAACTAGTTGGGAAAAGTGTCGTACTTAAAAATACTTTGCAACCTAACATCTGTTGGGGTTGTGTTTTGTGGGTTTCTTTCTCTTTTTCTTTTGAATAGATGAGTGAGTGGCTGGAATCTACTTGCACAGTCAATGTAGAACATATATGAGCAGTCTATTTGGGTTCAACATAATAAACTTTGCCTCTGAGCTTGTAATTTAGTAAACCTGCAAGCAATTTTTGGCTTTGAACCAGATTTTTCCTATCCTTTTAATGTTTGGATGATGCTTATCCATTTAGACTAGACTAGATTAAGGAAGCAAACTGTAGGAAGGGTCGGGGTCATATAGGGTCATACTAGTTGTAAAAAAATTTGTGTCGCCAGGCGTTGGTGGCGCATGCCTTTAATCCCAGCACTCGGGAGGCAGAGGCAGGCGGATCTCTGTGAGTTCGAGGCCGGGCTGGACCGATAGCCTCCGAAACAATACAGAGAAACCTTGTCTCGAAAAAACCAAAAAAAAAAAAAAACAAAAAACAAAAAAAACATTTGTCGATACTGGAGCTTTGTGAGATAATTTTTTAATATAAAGCCAGACAGATTCCTATCCCATTCTCTTCCCTTGGTACTACAGAAACAAAAGCAGAAGTATTTTGATCGCAACATTTCCCCACAGGTCTTTTTCCTATTTTGCTGTTGAAATATTTAAAACATTCGGGCATATTTACATTTTGGTCACATACAATAAGCCTGAGATTATACTAAGTATCTTTCTCTTGAATTAACATTTCGGGATTTATTGTGTTATCTTTTCTGCTTCTCTGTCTGCAGTCTCATTAAGCCACAGTAGAACTTTTTACGTTTATTTGTGGATGTGTGCACATTGGTATGCCACAGAACTCTTGGAGAAGTCAAAGGACAATTTGGGAGTCAGTTCTCTTCTTCCACTGTGTGGGTTCTGGGAATCAAACTGAACATCAGACTTGGGGGCAAGTCCTTTGATCTGATGAACTATTTCAAAGCCCAATAATTTTTTGAAAGGGAAATTCACTTTCTCTGAATATTAGAAAAACTGTCCTGTTAACAGTCGGTTCAGCAAATGGTACAGAGCTGCTGGACCATCTCCTCTATTAGGTTGGAATTAACAGTCAAAATAAGGTGCCTTCCCTCCAGGTGTTAATCGTTTGAAAGGGAAGACAGCATAAGACTATAAATGCAGATGCCACAGGGATGGTGATTATGATGAAGGGACACTGAAGCAGTTTCTAAGGGAGTAAACAGAGATCCAGGAAGGCCACTGTGAAGAGGTGACAGTTGAGCAAGGACCTGAGGGAAGTGAGTGAGTCATGTTAGTACTAAGATTAGCAACTTTTCTAATGTAGTGGCTTTAAACAGCACTGGTGAGGAGGACGGTCTCTTGTGAAATATAGCACACCAGAGGGACAGACGGGAAAGGAAAAGTCTTTGGACCAGAGGATATAAACTGTGACTTGATCACTAGATTTAGACAGTGCCTTAACAGGAATTATACAGTGGTTAATATAGAAAGATGATGTGACCTAGTGCTCAATATACAAAGATAATGTGACCGAGAAAAGGCTGGTCTCTTTGTAAGCTACCTGGAGAGAAAGAAGCCAGCATTGGAAAGTAGAGGGGCTTATCACCAAGTACGTGCTACTTAGAGAGCTAGGTACCTGGGTACAGCATGTTTTCAGACAGACAGGGCAAGCAGCTCAAAGACAAATTGAGCTTGATGTACAGCTTTTTGTCTAGGGCTGGTTCTTCCAAAATTATCTGTCTATGTTATATCTCAGGGCTTCAGTTCCCATGTTTATTAAATGGTGATCTATAAACATTAATTCAGCAAAAACACTCAGAGTAGCACCCAATCCCTGTAAACACTCCAGGAATTCTGGGAAGTACTAGTAGTAAGCAGGTGGCTAAAGCCTATGCCAGTATAGTTCCTTGAAGCTGGCAAGAGCACAACTAGTAAGGCAGTGACCATTTTATCAATAGAGCTATGATGGACTCTTATGTTTTCCTCGATTTCAGTATTTCTGCCTGATTGTGATGGATGCCATCCAAGAGCATACATATGAGGTTTGTGGTTTTCTTTTTTTTTTTTTTGTCTTTTTGACTTCTTAAGCTTATTTTGAAAAATCAGTTTTGAGGTCGACAACCCTTAGACTTTAATGCCCATAGTTATTGCAAAGCTCAACAGGTTGCCAGACTCTTGGGAGAATCACTTATTAATATAAATAGTCATTGCTCTTGGGGTGTTTGCTTGGGGTTGTAATTATTTGTGTCATTGTGGAGATCTTGTTCCCTGTAGGGCTGTGCCAATTAGCACAGCAGACCTAGGAAATGCTCAGTTTGAATAAGTGAATCAAGAGATTAAAATTGAGAAGATACTATTTTTCTGCCTATATTATCTGTTTACATGCCATGAGGACCTTATAATTTACATATATTTCTTTCATAAAGGGAAACAAATTCTGTGGAGGAAAAGTTGAAATTATTTCTAAGTGAAAGGAAAGAGACATGATCTGTACTTCTACATTATTTTCAGTATAATACATGTTTTGAAAAACGTATTTGAAAATGTTTTTGATGTTTCATACACATTCTTTTCAGGAGTGTGACTGATGGCTGACATATTTTTACAAGCTGAGCACTCTCAATCATGTTAATTTTAAAAGGGAAAACTATGGGGTTGGGAATCTAACTCAGTTAGTAAAATGCTTGTCTTACAACAAGCATTCGGATCTAAATTAGATCTCAGGCAGGCATGGTGGTGCAGTTGTAATCCCAGCCCAGCATCTAGGAAATGGAGAAAGGAGGACCCTGGGGCTTACTGGCCACCCAGCCTAGATGGATCAGTGAATTACAGTTAGAAGTGAGAGAGCCTGCCTCAAAAAACAAAATGGATAGCATTAAGGAATGAAATGTCAAAAAAAAAAAAACCTCTTCCTGAAGTGAAGTGTTGAATATATATATCAGAGTGTGCCCAGAATTTGTTTTTGTGAGTTTTTTGTTTTGTTTTCTTTTGTTTTGAGGCAGGTTCTCTCTCCATGAACTCACTATGTAGACCAGGCTGGCCTCAAACTCATAGAGATCCACCTGCTTCAGCATTCCCAGTGCTGAGATTAAAGGCATGCGCCTCAAGTCGGACTCCAGTGTGCCCTGTAAAAGGCTTCCAGGTTACAGTCCTACCAACACTGAAGCAGACTAGCTGTTGTCTTGAGATCATTGTCAGTATTCTCTTGAAGAACCTGTCATTTGTATACCTTATAAGAAGACATTTGTCACTTCAAATGTAGAAGAAATCTAGTGTATAGTTGCTGGAATTCAAACTTGATTTCTAGTGAAGTTAGGCTTTTTTTTTTTTTTTAATCCCAGAGGTCATTGCCTTCTTTTACAACTTGTCTTAGCTGCCTCCCCTTCACGTTTCTGGACACTGGAATGAAAACTATGTTTCCTATGCTTGTACCATGTAACAGTGTGATGAGTATATAGAGAAGCTAGTGAGAGGAGCTGTGAGCCTAAGTGGCTGGCTACCTTATCTAGGTACTTAAAGCACCCACCTGAAACTTTTATCCTTTCATATGAGGAGTGGGGGGGTGGTTACATTGGCATGTGTGGCAGAAGAACTTGTTTCTCTTAATCTGACTTATCTGGGCATAGAAGTTCTCTAGAAAGCCGAGAAACACTCTGATTCTGAAGGAGAGGGGAGGGGGGTCTTTGAAGAAAAGCAGTTGAATAGTGGCTTAGATGGGGATTAGAAGCAGACGTCAGAACTGACGTCAAACAGAGGCATGGAATAAGATCAAAAAGTAGTTTACAGCTAATCTTCAGAATTGTCACATGCTAATGGTTATCTTTGTATATATTTAGTTGTTTAAAACAAAACCAGAAACCTTGTTTGGCAGTAATCTGGATGATTATGGAGAAGCTAGCTTTAGTAAAGGCTTACAGTCTAAACGGAATTTAGATTTAGCGCCCAGAAATGGGTAGGTTTGAGAAACGTTTTGTGAAAAGTTTGAGGCAGTGGTTAAATTATGTAAATGATTTGCTTTGACTAGACACCAGAAACGGTACTGTTTGGCTCTCATGGATATTTGAATTATTCTGAAAAAATTTTTTTGTCTGTAGAAACCTTATTTTCTGATGTCAGATTAATGAAGCATGGGTTAGATGTGACTTTTGCCCTTTTTCAGATTTTTAATCTTTCAGAAAGGCATTTTAAAAACAGGTAGTAGGACATGGTAGTGAACATTAAATCATACTGTAGGGCTGGGGGTGTAGGTCAGTAGTAGAGTGCTGGTAGCATGTACAAAGTACCCAGCACATCAGAAGAAGAAAAGATAGCTTATATGTGGTACTTATTGTATTAATATCAGTGTTCAAGGACTGTGGACAAGCTTAATTCATGAGTATGCAAATTTATGTTGAAGATAAATTCTGTGTTTATAGAATTCATTCTGGTACAAGATTGATGATAAAGCAATATAAATCTTTCATTTTGGTTTTTTGTTTGAGTCAGGGTTTCTTTGTGTAGCCGTGGCTGTCCTGGAGTTACATCTGTAGACCAGGCTGGCCTCAAACTCACAGAAATCTGCCTACTTCTGCCTCCTGAGTGCTAGGATCAAAAGTGTGCACCATCACCTCCTGGACAAATATCTCTGTAGAGTTGAAATGCCTTTTTACAAATATATTGCCTATAATGTATCTTGTAGAATATAGGGTTAGCTACATGAAAATTCTTAACAATATTAAAATTGCTATAGTGCAATATCTTTTAAATTATTGTAGTAAAAGAATTTGTCCCCTAATTATTTTGTTTGGTCTTTTTGAAAAGGCATCAACATGTTTTCTGCTGCATTTTAGACTGACCACCTAGTGCCTACGGCATATAAAAACATGGCATTTAATATAGTCAAGATTCCTGGCCCCCAGTAATTTACTGTTAAAAACATTTAGAATCAGTTCTCACCACTGGAGAAAGAGGAAATTGAATCCTTTTTAGAGCTCTATATAAGCTTGTAGCTCTTAAATTTAAAAACTAGCAATAAAAAGAAAGACTTAGCCTCTCTTCTGTCATATTTCTAAGTATGAATATTTTTAATTAAAATAGAATCCTGCCCATTACATCTTACAGCAGTAAAAAGTGAGCCGTATACATAATTTGATTTGCTAAAGGACTTTTTTGCTTTTTACTGAAAATGTTGCTTCTTCTACTTCATTCTTTAGAACATTTGGTTTGTAATAAAAGTTTCAGCTGGAGAGAGAGAGAGAGAGAGAGAGAGAGAGAGAGAGAGAGAGAGAGAGAGAGAGAGAGAGAATGTCTAACAATGGAGGTCCTTTGACTTCATCCCCCAAACTTAATAACGATCACTTATGTACTACTAGTCCTAAACTAGGACCTTTGTACATACTATCTCACTTAATTTTTTCATATTTATGACAAATGCTGTAGTCATTTTATGTTTAAGATAAACTGACACTAAGGGGCTATGTTACTTACACTCAGCCAGGTAAGGTTGTTCATGCCTGTTATCCCAGTATTGGAACAATGAGAGTAATAAATTTGAAAGTTCAGAGCCAGTCTTCACCTTTGTAGGAGCTGAATGCCAGTCTGGATTACATGTTAGAACCCTGTCTCAAAACACAACAACATCTTACAGCTTTTATTCTTGTGACGAGATATCATGACTAGGTAACTCTGAGAAAGGAAAACATTTACTTGGGGTGGCTTACAGTTCAGAGGTTCAGTCCATTATCATCATGGTGGGACATGGTGGTGTGCAGGCAGACATGGAGAACTAGCTGAGAGTCCTACATTTTGCAGGTAAAAGGAAGTGGTCAGAGAACAGGGCAGTATCTTGAGCACATATGAGAGACTTCAGGGTACTTCTCCACAGTGACACATTTCTCCAACAAGGCCATACCCACTCCAACAAAGCCACACCTCCTAATAGTGCCACTCCCTTTAGGGGCCATTTTCTTTCAGATCACCACAAACAACTGTTAGTATTCAGGCATCTGTACTGATCTATACTTGGGGTTCTGACAGGATACACCCTCAGCTGCAGCCACTAAGAGCACCACTTGTGCGTATTCATTATGTTCCCTTTTAAAGGGCTCTGCCCACCTCCCATCCCCCCCTCTGTTTGTTCACCTCTCCCTCTCCTTTCTCCTCTCTCCTGCTGCCTCCAAAGGTTGGTCTCCCTCCTCCCCTTTCCCCTTTTTGTGATCCTTTTCCTCTAATTAAAAAAACCCTCTTGTGCCAGGCAGGTGGATCTCTGTGAGTTTGAGGCCAGCCTGGTCTACAGAGCCAGTGCCAGGATAGGCTCCAAAGCTACACAGAGAAACCTTGTCTTAAAAAACAAAAAAACAAAAAACCTTTGCTTGAACACTGTTGTATGGTGTCTTTCTTTCACACACTACTTTTCTTAAATTACAACAACAAAAACCCCAAAAACTCTCATAGTAAATATGTGAAGGAACCAGGATTCTAACTGGCTTAATTGATTTTCTTACTACTTAGTATTTGTTATTTATGCCATATTGGCTTTCACAGCTGATTGTTTTTCTTTTCTTTTCTTTTTGTTTTTTGAGACAGGGTTTCTCAGTGTAGCTTTGTAGACCAGGTTGGCCTCCAATCCACAGAGATCCACCTGCCTCTGCCTCCCGGGTACTGGGATTAAAGGCATTCGACGCGCCTCACCATCGCCACTTGGCCAGCCACAGCTGATTCTTATTACAAACTTCCTTGTTTTGAAAATCTTTCTTATGCTAGCATAGATATGTAGGTACATACGTATGAGATACCAAAAGACTATATGCCAGTATGTTGTACATATTTTTGGATGCTGAGTTTATGGGTTGTTTTAAATTTAAAATGAAATTTAAACTTTTATTTTTACTTATCCGTGTTCTATACTGTAGTTGAAATGTTGTGACTGACTCAAAATCTATGTTGCTTATTTATAGGTCAAGCAGCCTTGTTTCCTCAGTGGAAATTTAGTCACTACGATGTGGTAGTTGGTGTGTTATCAGCTCGAAATAACCATGAACTTCGAAATGTGATAAGAAACACCTGGCTGAAGCATTTGTTGCAACATCCTACTTTAAGTCAACGGTAGGTCTTCTGGATTACTCCTTTGCCTATTTCAAGAACTGAAAACAAAACAAAACAAAACAAAAAAACCTTAGTTTTAAAAGTCAGATATTGGAGCTGGAGAGATGGCTTGGTGGGTGGTTAAGAGCACTGGCCATCTTCCTGAGAATCTAGGTTCAGTTCTCAGCACCTACGTGCTGACTCACAACTGTCTGTAACTCTAATTCCAGGGCATCTAATTTCCTTTCTGGCCTCTCTCTGGGCATTGCACACATGTGGTACACAGGTATACATGTAGACAAAACACTCATGCATGTAAAGTAAACCTTTTTTTAAAAAGAGAGACTGATTTAGAAACATGGCTGTTTTGGGAGAAGTGGCCACTTCTGAATCTTAGAAGTAAGTTTTATCAAGATTTTAAGCCAGAAAGCACTTGAGAGAGTATGTTCTTGGGTTGGCATCCTAGAGTATTTTCAATATCCTCACTTTTTTCAGTTGTGTATTGTGTATTATTTTTAGTAATATAATGTATTGTGTACATGGCATGCCACGTTCTTGCCTACTCACCCTCCCAGAACTGGGTTTTGCACTGGCTCTCCTGCTGATAGTAGGTGGCCTGGCTGTTAGTCAGGAATGTTTGGGCATGAGTGGTTGGCGTGGGAAGTGAAAGCAAGAAAACAAAACACCATGATTTTGATGTAAGCAGTTGCTGGCAAGTTCTTATTGGGCATGACAGGAAAGACTATTGGAAGAGTTCTGGAGATGGTTTAGAGGCCTTAATAGGATTTGGTATTGCAGTCCTGTACTAAGGACCTGAGTCCCCTTCTCAGTGTGAGCATCTCTTTAGACTGCAGTGAGGACCTGAGGAGGGAGGCCTGGGGCTGAGCTGCTTAGGATGGGAAAACACTGAGACTGTAGCAGAGAAAGTCCTCTTGGGGCTGTATTAAACTGTCACTGTCTTGGATAGCTGTTAAGGTAAATTGCAGTTGGGAATTTTCATGACACTGACAGTGAACATGCATGGATTTCCTATCTTCCTCATGGCAGCTTCCATTCCTCTTCCTGGTAGGTAGGTATATGACTGAAATAATAAATCCTGTTACCAAGCAAGGAATGGCCTCAGAACCACCTCCAGAGCTTGAATTCCCAGTATCTTTGCTGTCATGCCCAATAAGAATGTGCCACCAACTGTTCATACCAAAATCATGGTGTTATGTTGGTTTTCCTTGCTTTCATTTCCCACGCCAATCATTCACTTATTCTTGGTGCAGCTTTTAGGTCATACCCACAATCAGACTTCTCAATACCCTTTACCACTGCCTTCCTTTCCTATCCTACCTTTACCTGTCACTTGGATTGTTGCAGAAGTTCCCCTATATGGATTACTTGCTTTTATCTTAGTCATAGTTCACGTTTTATTTTCCATATAGCTGCCAGACCGGAATGATCCTCTTAAGATTAGTCAAATTTTGTTAATTCTCTATTCATACCTCTCCATTGATGTGTGTGTGTGTGTGTGTGTGTGTGTGTGTGTGTGTGTGTGTGTGTGTGAATGCACGTGTGTGCACCTACCTGTCTGTTGTCTGTTAGAATAAAATCCTGTCAGGCATAGACAGGAGCTTAAGGTCATCCTCAGATGATTATTGAGTTTGAGGCCGGTCTTGGCTACATGACACTTGTCTCTAAATAAAGAAATATAATAAAATAAAACCCTCAAATCATAGTAGTCATTGACCTTTTCTACATCACCTTCTCCTATGTAAGTCATTTTGCTTTGTTTCTTTCATGCCCCCAGGATTGATTTTTTCCTAATGCATACAAAATAATGGTGGTTTTCATTATTATAACATTTTCATAAGTTTGTCATTGTACTTTGCTCTAACTCACCCTCTCATTGTTTCTATTATTCCCTCACCCTAAAGAGTTCATCCTTTTGCATTCGTCTCTCCTCTCTCTCTCTCTCTCTCTCTCTCTCTCTCTCTCTCTCTCTCTCTCTCTCTCTCTCTCTCTCTCACACACACACACACACACACACACACACACGCTCACCCTCTCATTGTTCCCATTAGTCCCTTGCCCTAAAGTCCATCCTTTTGCATTCGTGTCCCACATACAATATCTGTGTTCTGCTTGAGAAAAACATGTCTCCTTTTCCATCCCCCATCCCCCATCCCCACCCCATACACTATGCAAGCTTCTGCTTCAGAGCCTTTGCTCTTGATTAGACTTCCCTTTCTTTAAATGTCTTCATGGTAGCATTCTATCAAGTCTCTGGTAGATGTTACCCTAGCAAACGGTGTCAGATTAAATAATACTCTACTTCTTCATTACTGTCTTCCCTTGCTTGATTTTATTATTGCACATATTACCAACTGGCATGTGTAATGCATTTGTAAGTTATTCATCATTCCCCACTAGGAGGTAGACTCTTCGTTTTGTTTTGTTTTCTTTTGTTTATCCTACTGATAGAATTCCAGTATCTAGAACCTAGCTCGACTAAGAGTGAGGTACTCAACAACTGTTGAATGAATACATCAGAACTAGAAATAATCAGTATAATTTATACCAATAATTCATTTGCCCTTGTAACAGTATTTAAATGTAGTAAGCTTGTGTTTGTTTTCGGAAGATAATGGATTGTCTATATGAGAACAGATTGAAGCCCAAAAATATTTTTCTAAGGCATAATAGTTATATGGATTTAGTAAGGTTATTTAAGATAGCTTTAAAAAAAGTGGTATGTATAATTTAGTTAGCATATTCACTGATGTCTGTCTGCACCTTTATTACAAATGCTAATTGTCTAAATAAGGTGTTCTGCCTAGCTGGGCAGTAGTAAAAGACAATGCATTCTGTGGTTATGGTATTCTTTGATATCTTGTGCTTTACCAAAGGAGTTATTTATGAGGACTGTGTTTGATTCTAAGCCTCTAATAGGCTGTAATTTGTTACTTTTAATTTATTTATGTTCTAATCAGGTTGTGTACTAAGTATGTTAAAACACAAAGATACAGTAGAGCTGGAGTCTAGGGGCCTTGAAGTTTAGTAGATAGAACTAGGTGTGGTAATATAGTATGTGCTACAATGGAGATACATGTAAAATAGCCTGGAATGGGACTGGAGAGCTGGCTCAGCAGTTAAGAGTACTTGTTGCTCTTCCAGAGAAACCTGAGTTGTGATCCACAAATCTTCATCAGGTGCCTTGCAACCACCTGGAATTCCAGCTCCAGGAAATCAACTCCTTTTTCTGACCACTGCAGGCATACTCACAGTCAGCAAAGGCGTGTGCACAGACAGACAGACAGAATATGATAAAATCAGTCTATTTTTAAGTAGCCTGGAGTGTTTGAGAAGCATCGGTCATATGTAACCTGGGTTTGTTGGAGGTGAGTGTTAGAGCAGAGGGAAGCCTAGGAAAGAAGGGGAAAGAGAGAAGATTGTAAGAGAGGGGGAAGCAGGAAAGGGCTGTGGCTATGAGAAATTGGCAGGGACCTTAGCTCGTGGCAAGCAGTTGTGTGGAAGCTGACTTGTTCAGACAAGAACTACTGAGTGTGACTCCTTAGTGGTGATCTCATCAGAGGATATAGAAAGAACAGAAGGTGTGTCAATGGCTGTCGGCTGTCTGATGTGGAGAGTTGTGAAATCTGCAGTCAGGGTGCTGAGGACTGGATGAGAAGAGAAAGCAGCTCAGCTGAGATGTGTTTGAGCTCAGGAGCCCACAGGCTGTGGTATCCTCTGTAAATGTTTATTAAATGACTCTCTGTAAAAAAGCGCTCATAGGTACATAGGTTTATCATAATTTTATTGATATAACGAATTGTAGCGCATAATTGATAGATTATAACATTCATGCAGTACTCTGTAAAATTAGTAAATTCTATTTGGCCAGCTAATTCTCATAGAATGCTTCTGTTTTGCCAGGATATTAGGTTTATAATGAACTTATGGCTGGAATCAGCAAAGGCATATAGCTCTGAGGTAAATATTTTAAGTTAAAGAATAAGACTTAAGGTTGGAGATATGACTCAGCAAGTACCTATCTACCTGCTCTTTCAGAGAACCCAGGTTCATTTACTAGCACCAACATGGCAGCTTACAAGGGTCTGAAATCAGTCCCAAGGGACCTACCTCCTTCTTCTGACCTCCATGAGAATTGCATGCATGTAGCACATGAATGTACATGTAGGCAAATACCCCTACACATAAAAATAATAAGTTGTTCAAAATAAACGTTTTAAAGTGATGCTGTAACGATAAACGGCACACTTACTGAAAGTAAAACTAAGTATTTATTGTAGAAATTACTCACAAGATACCAAACAAGTAACCCAGATGAGCCAAGTAGTTTTCCGCCGCCGAACTGGAAGCAGAAAGCCGGAAAAAGAGCAAGACTTCCATTGTTCAGTCTTTTATACCTTCCCCCGTAACGCCCTAGCCATGCCCAAAAGTGGGCCTGGCTAGTGATGTAGTTCACCACCTATGTACGTGTACGTCTTTAGTCATGCCTAAAGTGGGTGTGGTTAGCGGTGTGGTAAACTGCTCTTTTATTACCTCATCTGTATGAGCCTCTAGTAAGTCACATGGCTAATGGCGGCACACGGCTTCCTCCTACATTAAAGTCCTACTAAAGTATTTACTAAGATATGTCAGTACTTTATTCTCAGTCAATGACCTCTTTGAATCAGCTAATAGTTTTTGGATATTGAAGAAGTATTCAGATTTTTTTAGTATTCACAAAGTAATTGCTATAGATCTATCTGCTTAGTTTTAATCTGCATTACTAGCATTTTCTCATACTTTGAGGCTAAACAAACAGTGATACAAGAAGCCCATCCTTGTTTATATTGTTTATCGATTTCTGTTTAAGCATTTTCACCAAGGCCAATTTCAAGCAACTACTGTAACATAACTGGGTATAGAACTGTGAAAAGATATATACCATGTACCATGAATATTCCATCAAACAGATAAAAGTATGGGTAACTCGAATATTCCCTTGTTTCAAATCTATTTGTTTTTGTAATTTAATAAAAACTGTATTTAACCATTTACAAAATTCCTGAAAATTTGACACCTAGCTCTGATAAGCCAGCAGTTCAGAACTCAGCTCCCTGTGGGTAATCTAGATGCCAAAGAACTTGAGGACTGATTACTCTGAGGATGAGTCTACGCTAGATGTGCTAGGTCAAGAATCATTTTATACCAGCTACAGCCCTAGGAATAAATTAATATTGTCAGAGGATAGGGTGTAAGAATGAGCAGACCAAGAAGAGATGAAGGGCTGGGTAACAGGTCACAAGGTAACCAGTGACACAAGGTTTGGGAACAGCAGAGACCTCCTATGACAGAAATGTTAGTCCAGCAAGAGGAAAGGAACATTGCAAATGCAGTTTCTGTGATCTGCTAGCTGGTATGTACATTTGCTGGTAACCAGGGCAAACATTTACACTTGCTTTGGTACTACAGAAGAGGGCTCATTTAAAGTCATTCAATATTAGCAGCCTTTGGGTTGCATGTCCCCTCCTTTCGTTAGGCTAGAAAAATAAAGTTAGAGAATATCCCTCATAAATGCTAGTGTCTCAAAGGTCTGAAATGAACATGAGGAAATGGGTATGTGTGAAGTGAAATCCATAACTGACACTAATGCCAACCCATCTCTCAGTGTGCTTGTGAAGTTCATAATAGGTGCTCGTGGCTGTGAAGTGCCTGTGGAAGACAGGGAGGATCCTTACTCCTGCCGACTGCTCAACATCACCAATCCAGGTGCGTTCAGGCTGCCACCTGTTTGTTGGCAAGTAAAAGGTACTAAATTTTATAGGAGAGAGGATGTTTAACCAACTATTTGTCATCAAAATTTGTGGTCCAGCCTTTTTGACAGACTGACTAGTCGCCCAGGGAGTCTCTGGGATTCTTTACAGCATCTAGAGAATTAGATTACTCATAACTTGCTGAATTTCGAACTTTTGGAAAATTGTTGATTTTACCAGTTAATTTATGATAAAACATTGAGCATAGGTCCTGGGACTCCATAAATACTTTGTACTAAAAAGCCCATCTTTTTTACAGGTTGGATTCCAGTCTACTTTTTTAAATAAATTGAGTGTACATTTTAGTCTGTGTCATAAAGCAAGGGTTGTAGACAATATTTTACCAAGATTGTGTTCTTATCAGAGGTTCCATTAACTTTTAGAGAGCCAAAGGATCATAACCCTATCAGAAGTGTTGTTGCTAATGTAGTCGCTTACAGAAATTAAACCCAAACAACCACATCCAGAAAACAGTACACAGGGCTGGAGGTACAGCTCACTGACAGAGTGCCTGCCTAGCAGTGTGCAGTCGTGGTCCCATCCCCAACACCTGTTATCTTGAACTTACCATCTTAAGTGTTTACTGATAGTACAGTAGATCTCCAGTAATAGAACACTTCCATCGTTTAATACATAGTTTTAAAACTGCACTGTTTAATGTAGATATATCTTATTTTACCCCCTGAGCATTTGTGTTATTTCAGTATTTAAAAGTCATGAACCGTAATCCTGCTGCTGCATATGTAGAAGGTTTGATTGATAGCTGCTATCAAAGCCAACAAGATTTTCTGCTCCAAGTAGCTTAAACTTAAGGTACATTTGTTTAAGGTGAAGAAAGTTTAGGAATGACTTGAACTCCTGTTTTTAGTAGACAGGCTTCTTTCTACTTTGGATGCCTTTTGTCTCCTGAATATATTAAAGAGAAAAACTTGCTGTCATCCAGTGTGGATGCTGACAGTGCTGTCTAGCTCATCGCAAAAATCTGTGTCTTTTTGCCCCTTTGTGCTCATGTCTGTTGACAAGGAGGAGGCAGCATTTCCTGTTAATCTTCTTCATTATACTAAAAATCTGTTGTAAGTATAAGATAGCTTCTAGGGACTAAAGTGAGGGACTAAATGCCTCATATGTACAAAGTTGGACCATATCCTAGAGTCTCTGTTGTAAAGCAGGGCTTTCTTTCTTTTTTTTTTTTTTTTTTTTTTTAGTTTTTTTCAAGACAGGGTTTCTCTGTGGCTTTGGAGAGGGCTGTCTTTCTTAGAATATCAGTGAACTTGGAAAATTCTGTCAAAGCAGAATTTTGTGTTGTTCTGTTTTTTTGAGGAGTAGGACCCAGTGGTTTTCAGTGAGATCCATAGTGCCAGGAATCCACCCCAGGGTCTTGTGTGTCCTGGGCATGTGCAGCTACACAACTGAATTGGATTCACAGCCCTGATATGAATGTATAGACTGGCCACAGTCTGTATTTACTTTATAAGTAAATGTGTGTGCACACATTTGTGTAACTGATTGGATTGTCAGAGTTTGAAAACCATCATTCTAAAAACTACAGAGAACTTTGACGTTAAAGTAGGTCTTACATTTCTCAAACTAGTTTTGACAAATAAACCAAACTGTCTTATCATCTAACCTATCCTGGTTCATCTATAGTAATTAGAAAAGTTACTTGAAAAGGACTATTGACTGGGGATATAGCTCTCTGGTGGATTGAAGCCCAGGTTCAGTTCCCAGCACTGGAGAAAAGAAAGGGCAGTTCGGGAAACTGATGAGCCACTAAAAAGAGCACTGACTTGTGTGAGTCATTAAACTTGGGTCTGATTCCTGAGGCTGTCACTTTTTGTGACTGGGGGATGATTATTTAAGTGTCCCTTACGGTTACTGTGTCCTGGGAAGTGGTAATGTGTAGATGTGGGTGCTCAGAATCTGCTTGATTTACTTATCTGCTGGAAATATTCTACAGCAAGTTTCCCAGTGTTGTTTGCAGTGATTTCAGTTCCCTCTGTACTGCAGTGGTTTCCTTACATACTGTACACTTTTAAATTGTTTAATAAGAGGTAACATTTTTAGAATTTGCAGAGCAAGATTAAATTTCCTAGTCATTTTTACTATAGTAAGTACTGTTTTTATTATGTTAACCCAGTCCTCCCATTTAGATGCCTGCAGTTGACTTATATCTAGTATTCACCTATGGGATGTGTGTGCAGAAGTCTGGATTTTATTTACTTGATGATATAAAACCCTATTCTCATTGTTTGTTTAGTTTTGAATCAGGAAATTGAGGCTTTCGTCTTTCCTGAAGATGCCTCCTCATCCAGACTCTCTGAAGACCGAGTTGTCAGTGTGAGCTTCCGAGTTCTCTACCCAATCGTGATTACCAGTCTTGGAGTATTTTATGATGCCAATGACATTGGCTTTCAAAGGAACATCACAGTCAAGTTGTATCAGGCAGAGCAGGAGGTGTGTATTAGCATGTACAGGATTTTTCTTTTCTTTCTTTCTTTTTTTTTTTTTTTTTTTTTTTTTTTTTTGGTTTTTCTATACAGGGTTTCTCTATGTATCACCCTGGCTGTCCTGGAACTCCCTGAGATCCACCTGCCTTGGCTTCTCAAGTGCTGGGATTAAAGGCATACACCACCACCCAGCTGTGCCACTACTCCCGGATAGGATTTTTCTTCTTGAGAGCAGCTTTTCCTTGTGGTCCCAAGTAGATTGAAAGACCAGACCATTCTTCATAGTTGCGTGACCTCCATCTTCCTGTATTGGTTGAACTTATATATGCTGATTTGTAATTCTGGTTTGGAGAGAGATTACCATAGATAGATGAGTTGTATGTACAAAAATAAAAGTTGGACTAGATTAGAAATTCCCATCCTAAATCACCCATAGCTTCATTAACAAAGGTGTCAGAAACATGAGCTGGAGAAAAGACAATCTTTTGAAAAATAGTGCTGGCAAATTGTATGACCACCTGCCAAAGAATAAAATTAGATCCATATCTTTTACCTTGCACAAAAAAATCAGTTCAAACTGTATCAGAAACCTTAATTGAAAATTGTAAAGTGCTCTGGAAAAACATTTCAGGACATCAGTATATCAGGACTTTTGTTACATAAGCCACAAATTTCTGAATAGAACCCTGGTAGTGTAAGAAATTGCCCCTCAACCAAAGAATAAATAAGGAAAATGTGGTACATTTATATAATGGAGTACTACTCAGTGGTTAAAAAAAAAATAACATCTTGAAATTTGAAGGCAAATAGACAGGACTAGAAAAAGCTATCCTGAGTGAGATAACCCAGACCCAGAATGACAAATATAATATATACTCAATCATAAGGGGATATTAGACATAAAGCAAAAGATAACAAACCTACAGGCCACAACCCAGAGATTCTAGAGTGCCTTAAGAGAGACATACATGGATTCACCAAAGAAAGGGAAAAACACAAGATCTCCTGAGTAAATTGGGAGCATGGGGGGGTGGAAGGGGAGAGAGGAGTAGGGAAAAATGTATAGCTTAGTACAATGTAAAAAAATAATTTATCAACAGAATGAGCATACTACAAAATAGGAGAAAAGTCTATGCAAGCTATACTTCATGGTTAATTTTTGAAAGAACAAGGAGAATGAAACAAAAAACCTGACATTCAAAAAAAAAAATGACCAGTGTTTTGAACAGTTCTCAAAAGAAGAAAATCAAACAACCAATTTTTAAGTATTCAACATCTCTAGCCATCAGAGAAATACAAATTCCATCCCACCCTTTTTAGGATGATCAGTATCAAGAATAAGAAAATATGGGGCTAGAGAGATGGTTTAGATGTTAAGAGCACTGGTTACTCTTCCAAAGGTCCTGAGTTCAATTCCCAGAAACCGCATGGTGGCTCACAAACATCTATAGTGAGATCTGATGCCCTCTTCTGGCATAAAGGCATACATGAAGATAGAGCACTCATACATAAAATGAATAAATAAAATCTTTAAAAACAACAACAAAATATACTGTTGAGGATATGATAGAAGAGGAGCTGTTTCCAATGTTAAGGCAGCCACTGTAGAAAACAGTGTGACCATATGACCAAGCTATGCCACTTCTGCACATACACAGAGGACTCTACAACGTACTGCAGAAAAATATTCTCACATCCATCTTTATCACTGTTCTTTTTACATAGCAAGGAACAGAAAAGTGGATAATGAAAATGGGGTACATAATGTACAACAGAATTTTACTCAGTCATAAAGAAAAATGAAATTTTCAGGAAAATGAACAGAATGGAATTAGAGAATGCTTTATTAAGTGAGGACACCAAAACTTGAAAGACAAATACCACTATATATTCTCTTTCATAAAATGTTGATCCTAGCCTCTGGGTCAAGTTGGAAGTAAATATGGCTGAAGGCCAAGACCCTAGAAGGTGGCTCATGAGGCTTGCTGGGGGGTGGAGAGAGACAATGGAAAAAAGTTGAAATGGAGTAATGGGATGTAGCAAGTCTTTCTCTGTCCCACCTGCCAGTTCCCAAATAACCACACAGAGACTTCTTATTAATTATGAAAGCTTGGCCAATAGCTGAGGCTTGTTTCTAACTAGCTTTTTAACTTAAATTAACACATATCTTGTAATCTACATTCTTTTATGTGGCTCAATTACCTTTACTTTGTGATGCCCATACTTCTTGCATCCCCAGTATCCTCTCTGCCCCCAAAATCTTGCCTAGCTATTGGCTATTTATCTTTATTAAACCAGTCGTAGTCACATATCTTCACACAGTGTAAAAGAATATTCCACAACAATAGGAGAACAAAATGCTACTGTGGGAGTGGGAGCAGGGAGATAAGAGGATAGATAATAGACTAAAATGAAATATGTATGAAAGTATCATATGGAAACCAATTACTTTGTTAACTGACAGTTTTGTTTTGTTTTTAACTTTCTGCTTACTCCAAGCCCTTGTGGATTACTGTCTTGGTAGTACTGTCTTTTCTGTTGGTGTAGGTTTTCCTTTTATGCCTAGCAACTAGATACTGTGAATGATCTATTATAGGACCTCTCATTACATCCCACATCTTTTTTTCTTTTGTTGCAGTAGCAAGCAGTTAAGTTTTCTGTAGGAGATTCTAAACTGTTCCTTGCAGTGCATAACAGTTCAAACCCTACTTGGCTCTTTTTGCTCTTTAGTTGGGCTGCCTGGGTTCTGCTTCGGATAAGTGTTTTATGAGTCAGCCTTCGATTAAGGCAGAATTTATATGAAAAATTAAGGCTCATTCTCCCTCTCCTCCCACCTCTGTGCATATATGTGAGAACTTTTCTTGCTTGTGAGTTTTCCTTTTAGCTGATACTTTTATCCCACTCATGTCTTCTGATTTTTTTTTTTTAAGTTGGTGTAGAGCTGTACCTTCAGCAAAGAGCATTAAGGGAAGATGGAATAGACCCACTTTCCTTTTTCCCATGATTTGATTCTTTTCCAGGTTTTGCATGTGTTTGAATTCCAGTTTCTGTCAGATCTTTGTTGTTGTTCCTTACTGGTCTGTTTTTGTTTTTTGAGATGGGACAGTCGAAGCTGTCATTAAACTCGAAATCCTCCTGTTTTAACCTCCTGAGTGCTGGATTGCAGATGGATGTCATCACATGTGGCTAAGATGTTTTTTTATGTTTTTTTCAGTTCAACATTGTTACCTATACGTAGCATTTGGTTTGCTATTACTAGAAGCCTGTTTTTGGTTTTTGTTGGCTGTTAGTTGGTTGAAGTTTTGTTGAAGTCAGACAAGGTCAGACACAGAACTGTAATGCCAACGTTCAGGAGTCTGAGGAAGGAGGATTTCCACAAGTTCACGGCAAGTCTAGTCAATTATTTCCAGCCAAGACTAGACCCTCCCTCGTCTCTCTATCTGTGCCCACTGAGTCCAATTGGTGCTGCTTATATGATCGTGGACTCGGGGTCATTCACTGGGGGACCCTAGGGAAACTACCAGTGGTCATATATCATAAGGAAAGTGAGTCTCCCTCACAGCCATCAACTACCAGTAGTCCCACAGTTAATTAAGGACCTCAGCAGCTCCTTCCACCATATGGTTCCTGAGAAGTGAACTCAGGACCTCTGGAAGAGCAGTCAATGCTCTTAACTGCTGTGCCATCTCTCCAGCCCCAATTTTATTATTTTTTAAGACAAAATTTTGACTAAAAATTTCAACAATTTTTCAGGTTTTTCTTTTTTTTAACCTTTATGTTTATGCGTATTTTACCTACATGTATGTCTATGCACCACATATATGCCTCGTGCACAGAGGCCATCAGATTTCCTGAAACTGAAGTTACAAACAGATAGTTGTGAGCCATCATGTGGGTGCTGAGAACCGACTTCAGATCCTCTGCAAGAGTAACAAGCACTTTTAACCAGGAAACCATCTCACCAACACCATCAAAGTTTTCTAGTGCTATTGCCATAATCATTAAATTATCATTGATTTTTGTTTTACAGCTCTAGGGACTCAACTGGTGACCATGATTAGTGGCTTTGTGAATTTACTGACAAAGCTATACAGTATCTGAAGATCTGTTGAATATACAGTATATAACAGGAAATATTGTTTTTGTTTTTCCATCCCTCCCTACCCATCTTGCAGGAGGCCCTTTTCATCGCTCGATTTAGTCCTCCAAGCTGTGGCATACAGGTGAACAAACTATGGTACAAGCCTGTGGAACAGTTCATCTTACCAGAGGTATGGCTATAGTGAAGACCAGTGTTACTTTTGTAGGCGTGTGTGCTTTGTCACCCCACATCAGTTCTTCAGTGTGGAATTAGTAGTACCAACAAAGCCTGCATGAAAATTTGCAGTTCCACCAACAGAACTTCATAGCCATGTTTTTCTAAACGTGCCTGTTGCCATGGTTAACTTGAAATTGAGAACTGTGTGACTGTCGTAGTGACAAAGGTAGTTTTAGGTCTTAATAGACAGAAGATCTTTTGGAAGTTCAATGTTTTACTTATTTAAAGAATTTTTTAAATGCCTGTTGTAGGATACTTTGATTGCACTCTGACACTCCCAAGACTGCCAATAAAGTTTACCTTGAATCAGAGAGATGAGCTGGCTGCTAGTTGACCAAAATTAGCCATAGAGGTTTTGGAGGACCCAGGACATATAGAGAAGCATAGGAAGGGCTTAGAAAGATTCTCAGTCCTTTTGGATCTAGGAAGGAAAGAGACAGGAGGTAACTGGTCACTTTGCTGCCGCTTCTCTGATTCAAGGTAAACTTTACTGGCAATCTTGGGAGTGTCAGAGTTCCATCAAAATGTCCCTTAATATTGCCAAGTCTGATGAGGCACACTTTTAACCCCAGCACTCTGGAGGTAAAAGTAGGCAGATCTCTCTGAGTTTGAGGCCAGCCTGGTGTACATATTGAGTTCCAGGACAATCAGAGCTACATAATGAGATCCTGTACCAAAAATTAAAAACAAGTGCAGATGGATAATACGCAATGCATTTTCAAGTTAAATAAAAGGTTATTAACAGTGAACACTTGTAGATGATGTCTGAAAACAGGTCTGTCACCTCTGGGGTGCCCTAGGACAGTCTTAAATCTTACCTGCTGGAGACCATTTTGCCTGCCAGGTGCCCTCATGCATCCTGAGAGTTTCCCCAGGTAGTCAAGGACTGTGACAGAGGCAGGTATGAGCAGTGCTCATCCACCAGCTTCAGCCTATTCATAGAGTCCACTTCTGAACTTAGTGTTCTGAAACCATGGTTGAGGTCAGAGTGTTGGCTAGTTGTGTGGTTCATTGAAAACTGAGTTTATCTGCAATATCAAAACTGAGTTAAGATGTGAAAGCTAGACCATTGACAGCATCCCCATTAAGTTCTTTTGGCATCAAATACAAGTAGTTGAAACAACATTTGTGTCCTGGTTAGTTTTATGTCAATTTGAGACAAGCTAGAGCCATCAAAGAAGAGGGAGCCTCAATTGAGAAAATGCCTCTATAAGGTTGGGCTGTAGGCAAGCCTGTCTGGTATTTTCTTTATTGATGGGGGAGCACTCAACCCATTGGGAGTCACCCCTGGGATTGATGGTCTTGACTTGTATAAGAAAGCAGGCTGAGTAAGCCATGAAGAGCAAGCCAATAAGCAGCATCCCTCCATGGCCTCTGCATCAGCTGCTGCCTCCAGTTTTCTGTCCTTTTTGAGATACTATCCTGACTTTTGATGATAAACAACAATATGGAATTATAAGACAATTAAACCCATTCCTCCCCAACTTGCTTTGCTCATGGTGCTTCATCATAGCAATAGTAACTCCAATTAAGATAAAATGTTAATTGTATATCAAAGGAATCTTGTAAGAGGTACTTGCTCTCTCTGTGGCTGTGTCTCCCATGAGGTAGAGATGCTGCACTAACTGGTCCAGAGAGCTTTTTAGGGAATGACTGGTTTTACATATATGGACCACTTAGATTATGCTCCCACGTGGCAAGCATTCTATAGGTAACTGAACCATCATTGTCTGTATACAGCAAAGTTCCTCATGAGTTATCTGCTTGCCTACCAGAAGACAGTTAACAATGCCTGGAACTCTGGTTTGTAACATTGGGGTGTGGGTGTCCAAAATGTCCAAGAAGCTTGAGAAGCTTCTTGAGGAGGAGTCTCCGTGGGTAAGGTCAAAAAGAGGAAAGCAAGTTTTAATGCTTCAGCTCATCACAGGTCTCTAGAGTCTGTCCCTTACTTTTGATCACCCTTATAGAAAGAAGCTTTTTCTTGGTCTGTAAAAAGCATCTTTTCCTCAGAATGCCATTGCTCTTGAGAATTGCTGTGTCATTGGGCATCTGCATTTCTCTTTAGGATATGGACAGCAAGGAAGTGTGTGGAGAAGACATAGCCGTGGAAGTGTGAACAGCTAGGGAGGCTAGGCTTTCAAATGGTGATTCTAGCTTCTTTGTAGGTTTGTAGATCTTCAAAATAAAAATTTAGTCAGGGGATAAGAGTGCCAATGGTTGGAGGATCTTTGTTGATTTATTGTTTTTGTCAAAGAATAATTAATTGAAAAAAATGTAACAGAAGCCCTGTCTGCACCAGCAAAAGCAAAAGAACACTGCTCTGGCAGCCTTACATTTTACAATTAAAAAACAAGTTTTATTACTACTTTGAGAATTTATTTTGATCATATTCACCCCTCCAGGACCCACCCTCACCTTATCACCCAAATTTCAGTCCCTGTTTCTATTTTCTAGATAAACCATAAGGTCCAGTTTGTGCAGCCCATACACTCCTGAGTGTGGAGCCATCCACTGGCACATATTCAGCCTACCAGTGGCCTCACCCTTAAAGAAACACTGATTCTCCCTCCCACAAAAACAATCAGTTGTCTCTACCTGAAGTCGTTTGGTTGTTTTTGTTGTGGTAATTTTTGTTGTTGCTTTGAGACAGGGTATAATCTATAATCTTGTCTACCCAGGCACCACTGTGTAGACCAAGGTAAGCTGGTTGACATCTCTTGGGAGTTCTGTCTCTGCCTCTGCAGGCATATGCCATCTTGCATGACTTGAAAGATGTTAGTGCTGACATTCCTAAGAATCTTACTTCCTTTTAAGCTTTAAGGTAAATATACTAGGTATTTCATTACTTTGAAAAATATGAGAAAATTAAAATTGTTTATTAGTGACTATATGGGAGAATATGGGATGATTTTTATAAGTCTATACTAAAGGCATATTAGTTTTATAAAAAGAAAATAATAAACCTTTAGAAATCTAGAAATTGTTTCATATCACATGTAGCTTTTTCTTTGTTGAAATCTGTCTGGTGTTATATGGATTTTTCCCCCCTATATCAAACCTAATGGAACCTAATGGACTTGGTGATGGTTTGTCTATGTCTTACCAGAGAAGTGAGAGTCACCCTTGGTGTAATCCATCTGTGAGTAGTAGATGATGCCATCTCATTACTGTTGCACTATCTGGAATATCACATCAGCATGGCTTGTCACATTGTGTTCTTTTGTAAAGTGTTCGTCCTGTCCACTGAAGTGTAAACTCTGTGAGAGCCACAAATTTAAGTGAAAACTGCTATGTGTTTATCATAAAATAGTTATATTTTTCTAATTGTATATTTTTCTTAATAATGCAGTCGAAACCTAAAACTGCTTTCAGTAGAAAGCTGAATCCCTAGGCACATTACTGTAAGCTTGGTGGACACTTATGCTTATATTTTTTTGTAAAAAGTGAGTCTTCAGTCATTTTTCCAGTCTACAAAAAGTTGTTATTGTTTATATGCTTTAACTCCTGTGTTGTAATGGATTAGAAGTAATACATAGAAGAATTACCATGTACTAACTTACTATTTTCCCAGACTGTAACAATAATTTTTTTAATTTAAATTAGAAACAAGCTTGTTTCACATGTCAATCCCAGTTCCCTCTCCTTCACCTCCTCCCCTGCCCCCCTCCAACCCTCCCAGCTTCCCACCCAATCCCCACTTTGCTCCCCAGGGAGGGTAAACAATGATTTTTTTCCCTGAGTCATAGTAGTTTTATGATCTTCAAACAGGGTTGCTATAAATTGTTCTGGGTTGTAAGAGTTTCCTGGTTTTATGAAACCTGTAACAAAATAGGTGTGTGAGAGGAGGTGTGAGATGCAACTGTCAGCTGTGGCCTGGGTCAGAACAGGGAGCATGATTGCTGCTGCCCGACCTTGTATACAGCTTCAGAGGAAGTCAAGGACTTTTGCACCAGTGCATTTCTCTGGTAATGAACCCTGTTTACAATTAAGTCATGACCCAGTTATATGCTAAATGGAGTTGGGTACCAGGAAGAGCTGCTGGCAAAGAGCAAGCCAGATACTAAATGTCATTTAAATGGATTGAACAGAGAATGGTTTCCATACTTCTCTGTTTGTAGGTTCAAGGTGTAGTTTTCACAGATAACCTTTCCTTTTGGTGTGGCTCCTCCATATCTCCTGTTTGACTCTTGATCGCCTGCCTTATTTTACTCAATATACTTGGACTGTTTCATCCATTACTGCCCAATGTCTCTAGTGAATTCCAGATGTGCCAGATGATTCTGGACATTGAAATGGTGTTGTTTTCCAACCATTCTCATTGCCCATATTTTCAATCTTGGGTCTAGGATTTTCTTAAACCACCTAAACCAGAATCAAGGGCCTTCCCTTAGGTCTTAGACCCAAGTCCCATCCATTCTAATTTTCAGTGTTCTCACATCTTCCATATTTTACTGATGTTAGAGTTTTAGAAGAAAGTACAACATACCAAGGGCAAAAGACTGTTGTTAGGAGATGGGTATGTGGCTGACCCAGGCCATCTCATCCAGCACATAGCAATGATCAGATTCCCAGTGACTGACACTATGGACCATTGTCAGTTTATTCATGTTTTATAGGGTTGGCTCATAAGAGTGACCTTAATGACCTTTACCCCTGACTTGGAATGTCAAAGTGAAATAATAGTACTTGATTTTGGCAATGAACTTGATCATGGCAGTAAAAAAATGAGTATTTTGAAGTGGTGTTTCATCTAGGAAGAATGTGACTAGGTAGTTTATACTTGAATCTTTCTCCCCTACATACTGCTACATTGTCAAGATTCTTCTCTGTGCTTGTTTTTTTGTGTGGTGGTCAGTGGAGCTGGAGGGTGTAAAGGTCACTACTTAAACTTCACTCTTAAGCTGGTCTCAGTGATCGGAACATGATTTCCTCATCAGTAAAAGAGGAATTATAGTTCAACCTACAGGCAGTTCCCTGGGAATCTCTGTTTTGTTCCGTCTCACCAGGACTGCACAGCAGCTAATTCTTCTCTCCCTACCAGTCTCTGCTACTCTAGTCTTTCCCACTTCTAAGCAAAGGCCAGGGTTCATAGCACCATGGTGGCAGAGAGGCATCTGGTCTACCTTAGACCTCTCCTCTCCTCAGCCTGGTGCTACGGCCTGTGACATGCTTATGATTCTGAAGGTGTTGTGCTGTTGCTGCCCACTTTTCTGACCCAAACTACTTCAAGACTTTTCTGCTTTTGTGGTAATTTAAAGTTCTTTCTGCATAATAACTACTCCAATTCTTGCCAAAGTGTTGGTATTTTTGTTTTGTTTTTTTTCCATTTGTGAGCCTGTGGCCACATGTTGGTAGTATTTAAAGACTATTCTGTTTTGATTTCCAATATTTAATGTATAGGCAAGCGATAAATACTAAAAAAATCTACCACATTAACTTGAACTTTTTACTTTTTCCTAAATTTTATAGTAGAGAGAACAATGCAGTTGGCATTCTCAGACTTTGCTAATGACCTTATAAATTAATAAAAATGACGATTCAAAAGCAATTTGATAGTTTATATCAAATAAATACATAAACACATTTACTTTTTCCAGTGATTTCACCTCTGGGAATTTATTTTAAATGAAGTATTTTGGGAAAGAGACATTTTTACCAAAATATTCCATTGTTACAGTAGCTATTTGGTCAGCAGACAACAGCTATAAATCGAGTGTCAGCCATTGGCATGTTATACCCATATTACAACAGTTCTAAAAGTTGTAGCAACATTAGGAAATTGATGTAGCAGGAACTGGCAGGCAGCATCTGCAAACACCATGAGCTCTGTTTTTTATAGATGTGTCCAGAAGAAATAATCAAGGACATACACTACCCTGCTACCAATGAAATGTTCAAGTTGTGGCTTTAAATTTTAACTGATGTGTTTCAGGGGATGGGAGGATGACATTTGTTTTCTAAAGTTTTACATAAATACTTATTCAACCTAAGTGGCAACAATAATCAAACTGATCCACTATCATTTTCCCCCCAAAGAGCTTTGAAGGTACAATCGTGTGGGAAAGCCAAGATCTCCATGGCCTCGTGTCCAGGAACCTACACAGAGTGACAGTGAATGATGGAGGGGGTGTTCTCAGAGTCATTACAGTAAGCTGTCCTTTGTTTGTTTGGGTTTGTTAGAAACATTAACTGTCTTATATGCATAAAAACTTTAGAATTCACTTTTATCTCAGGCAGTGTCAAACAGTGGTTTTGAACATACACAATAGAAAGTGTCACTGAGTCACTTCACCGTAGTGAGAATGAGCAACTGTGTGGTCCTGTAACTCCAATATTAATGGTAATGTAATCTTGCCTTAAGATTGGTACATTTTAAAATATGGCATTTTATTTCTTGATAGTTTTTTAGTGAGCATTTTTTAGAAACATTTGTTCATAGCTGAGTATAGTAATTTATACCTGTGTTCTCAGCATTCAGGACACTGAAATAGCAGGATTGTCCTGAACTTGAGACCAGCTAGCTACAGAATAAGAAGGGAAGAAAAGAAACACTTCTTCCATAGTAGAAAAATGCTTACCTTGGTAGAAAAATGCTAGTTAAAATACCAAACTATAGCCGGGCACGCTTTTAATCCCAGCACTCAGGAGGCAGAGACAGGTGGATATCTGTGAGTTTGAGGCCAGCCTGGTCTACAGAGCGAGTTCCAGGACAGCCTCCAAAACAATACAGAGAAACCCTGTCTCGAAAAACAAAACAACAACAAAAACTATATTGCTGAGTACAATGTCCTGTGCCTGGAGTCCCAGCTCCTTGTCAAGCTAAAGCTGAAAGATTGCTTTAGCCCATAGTTCAGGATCAGCCTGGGCAATATAGATTGCATCTTGCTGTCTTTTTTAAAAAAAAAGAGAGAGCCAGAGAGTAATTGCTTTTGTTTTATTTTGAAGCAACTCTGGAATTTCTCATTTAGTCAAATTTTCCTCAGATTTAAAGCAAATCTAAGTAAATTTCTCAAACATAGCATAGCAAGGGTATAGACAGACTTAATAACAAGAAGTGTGTTGTGGTGGTGTTGCAAACAACTTCCCAATTCCCCCTTGGTACTTGGTCTAATGAATAGGAAGACACTTGACATTTAAATGTAGAAGTTCAGTAATCTCTTGAATATTAGCCCTGCTCCCATGAAATAATTCCTGGTTTTGAAATGAATGTCATGTGATTTATTACATATTCAGAAAGCATTTTTTGCACCCACTGAAAGGCAGGCATGTTATTCCATCACATCCATAGTCAGGGAGAAAGTAAGTCAAGGAATGGCAGGGGTCAAAGTGTGGGATGCTGAGCCTGATGGCCTCAGTTCAGTAGACACACCCAGACCTAAATAAATGTAATTTTAAAGTGTTTAAAATAAAAGGAAATATATTAAACAAATGGGCCCACAAAGTCACATGTAATTATACCCTCAGCCTTGTAGGCCATGTACAGTATTTTATCCATTATTTAAGATAGGGGATTTTATGGAAGTAATCATAATTTTTTTTCTGATATTTTCAGGATAAGTGCCTTTAATATAATACCACTTTCTATTTGTGAAACTTAAAGAAATCTAGGATATACCAAAATTCTATAGTCTTTGACTTATTACACTAAGGAAATAAGTTTCCTTGTGAGTTGAAGATTTGATTAAAATGTAAAGACAAATAATCTGCTCTGGAGGAAAACTAGCTGTGGAGGGTGAGAGACAGCTTAAACATTCAGCTAACCGAAGAAGAAAGGGGGATGTGGCAAGCCCCTTAGCGGAATAGATTTCACCAAGTCTGCTCCCTGTCAATGATAATGTCAGAAAATTTTAAAGCTAGGCTGCAACCTTTGAGAAAGTTAGCTTTAACTGTCATAGGTACAGCCTGGAGTCATCAGAGTAAGGATGTGGCCTGTGGCCTCTGGGCATGTCTGTGGAACTATCTTGATTGTTCATTGATAAAGAGAGCCATTTCTATTGTGAGTAGCACAGTTCTCTGGATCGGTGTTTCAGAGCTGTATAGAAAAGCCAGCTGTGACCGAATTTCCTGGTTATAGGTAATGCTTCATGGATTAGTTAGCAGGCCTGCCTCTAAGTACATCTTTTAATCTGCCATAAACTTCCCTCATTGATGGACGTGACCTTAAAGTATAAGCCAATAAACCCTTTCTTCATGGAAGTTGCTTTTGGTTGGAATGTTTATCATAACAACAGAATCAAACAAGAACACAATGAATATTAGGATATTGTTAAGTTCTAAACAAACCAAAATAATTAACATACTGCAGTTAAGAAAAAAGTATACCACAATTATGGAACCAGAGTTGAGATCTAAATCAGCTACAAACTGTATTTTTAAATTGAATAAATGTTATCCCAGTGACTTCAGAATACTCTTTAGTGGCCTTAAAATGGTGCTGTGTAGAGTCCTTCTCTACTGAGATCTGCTTAAAGAGACAGTTGACAGTTAAGTCTAGGTCTTCCAACAGCAGTAGGAAATTAATCTCTATCTGATTTTGCTGGGAACAGATGATGTTTTTTTTGTTTGTTTGCCTAGTTTCTGATACAGAGTTTGTATGTATACCCTAGCTATCCTGGAACTCCTGTAGATCAGACTGGCCTTGAATTCAGATCCACTTGCCTCTGCCTCCCTAGTGCTGGGATTAAAGGCATGTACCACCACCTTGCCCAGCTGGGGACAGATGATGATTTAAAGAAGCTTTTCTCTGCATGGCCCTAAGATGCACTAAGAGCTTATCAGATTCATCAGAATTTTTGTGAGAAAAAAAGTGGTAATTCTTTAATGTTTTTAAAGTGATAAATACTATTGTGGTTATAACTATAAGAATATTTATATATGTCTAAGTTGGAATTTTGAGCACTGGGCCAGAGTCATCCTGATGCTTTAAATCCATGGCATAAGGGCTGGAAAGGTGTCTTAGTGGTTAAAAGTGCTGGCTGTTTGTCTTCATTGTTTTTCTGTTGCTGTGATAAGGCAAGACCAAGGCATCTTATAAAAGAAGGGCTCAGGTGGTCAGAGTCCATGGCCACCGTGCTGTGAAGCCTGGCAGTGGGCAGGCAGGCCGGCTTAGTGCTGAAACATTAGTTTAGAGCTTGCATCTTGATCCATAAGCTAGAGGCAGAAAGCCAACTGGGAATGACTTTTTGACACTTCACTTCAAAGCCTACCCCAGTAACACATCTCCTCCAACAAGACCACACTTCCTGTTTACAAATAGTGCCACCAACTACTGGGAACTAACTATTCAAATATGTAAGCCCATTGGAGCTGGGGGAGGGGGCAATTCTTAACTCAATCTACCACACTATTCCAGGGAGCAACACTCGGTTCCCAGCACCCACATAGTGGTTCCAGCTTTATGGTCTAGTGCTCTCTTCTGACCTCTGATGGCAATGCACTGCATGCAGGTTCAGGTGTTGAACAGACATACATGCATACAACATATCTATGCACACAAATTAAAGATAAATAAAGTAAAAAAAAGTATAAATAAATAAAGTAGGCTAGCTAGTGGTGGCTTATACCTTTGATCTCATTACTCAGGAGGCAGAGGCAGGCATATCTCTGTGAGTTTGAGGCCAGCCAAGGGTACACAAAGAAACTCTGTCTTGAACCCCAACTCCCCAAAAAAAGAAAGTAAAAAGAATGAATAAAAATCCATAGCATCAGTATCTGCTGTAGGGCAGGCACCTTGGGCATCTGCTGATTCAGCTCCTGTATTGTAATACATCCACTGTTAGTCATGAAATGCCTGAGCACTTCTCTTCTATTCCTTTCAGGCTGGGGAAGGGACACTGCCTCATGAATTCATGGAAGGTGTGGAGGGAGTGGCAGGTGGCTTTATCTACACTGTCCAGGGTAAGTTGTCTAGTGAAAAGCAAACTCCGTGTAGCTAACCTTGTTTTATAATATGCTGCGATAGGTCATCTTTTCAAGTTAAATTGCCTTATTGAGCTAGGTACAAATTTGTGTGCCTGAAATGCTGACACTTAAGAGACTTTAGGAAAATTATGACTTCAAAGCCATTCAGGGCTTTGTTGCAACACCCTGTCTCCAAAACAAAACCTAAAAGCTTACTTTTTAAGGTATTGTATTCTGTTATTCAAGTAAAGCATAGTTGGATCTTTCTATTGGTTCTGGTTTTGTTGTTTCTCAGCATAGCAAACAGTGCTGCAGAGAACATTGTGGTGCCCATGTAAGACAATATCTCTAATGTCCTATCACAAGTAGACTTCACTGGCTGTAACTCTACACCACCTGAAGATCCTAATGAATGCATGCTCTACTGCATCTGGGTCCTGAGCATGCATTAGTGTTTCTCCAGCAGTCAGCTTTTCCTTTTCAGAAGGAGATGCACTGTTACAAAGCCTTCATTCGAGGCCCCAGAGACTTTCAGACCACATACAGGATCTGCGAGTGGAAGATGCCTTACTGCAGGAGGAAAGCAGCGTGTATGATGACATTGTCTTCGTAGATGTTGTGGATACTTACCGGAATGTTCCTGCAAAATTACTGAACTTCTATAGATGGTAGGTTGTGCAGATGTTGGGTAGCTAAAATTTGTTTTGTTGTTATTTTGATGTAGAAACATTAAACCATTGAGATTTCAAAATTCAAAAGACTAGTCATCTGGGGTGTGACCTGATATATCATAGATCCTTTTAAAACAATATCTTTTTAATTTTAAGGTTTTTAAAAAATTATTTATGTGTATGTTTCTATATGTCTGCTTTGTGAGTGTGTGTACCTTTGGCGGTCAGAAGGCATCAGATCTCTGGAACTGAGTTTACAAGCAGTTGTGAGCTGCCCTACATGGGCACCAGGAACCAAATGGGTAGGTCCTCTGGGAGAACAGTACTTAGTCCTGACTGCTGAGCCAACTCTTCAGCACCTCCTAGCTCCTTTAAAGCCATCTTCTAATGTGCTGTTGCTTTCTTCTTTAAATGATCAGATAGATTCACAGTGTGAATGGCATTAAGTGGCCAAAACTAATGAAACAAAAATTAATTCCTTTGGAGTCATTCCCACACACTGTATCTTACCTAGCTTTGGATGGAATCAGTGAGTATGGAAATAGTCCTTTTTTAAGTTTTCCTACCTATCCACTCCAATTCCAATTACAGTCTAAGTTATTAATCTGAATTCTGCTCAACTAAATATCCACCTTCAAATATCCATTCGCTACTCCCATCAACTTCCAAACTCCTTGCATTGGGATAGATGCAGTGATACATGAATTTTGTCCCAGCTACACAGAGGCTGAGACAGAAGGCTCCTTTGAGTTTAGAAGTTTAAGGCCAACTTTCACAACATGGCAAGGTTCTGAAAACCAACAAATACATGTCTGGTTTACAAACTTGTAGATGCTCAATGAAATTAACTCTCCTAACTTCTAGACTCTTAAATCTTGGTTGTGTTCTACATTTGTGACAGTATGTTAGAATTTTTAACATGCAAAGCTGGTGTTATTATGGCTGTGCTGACTTGCTGAAGCACTCCTTGCTCTCACAGGACTGAGATACTAACTCTCTGGAGTTGTCTGTCCCACCCATGCCTGACCTGGGATTTTATAACTTTATCTTTTGAATCCTTATCAAGGGCTTATTTCTTGGAAAGGCCTACCAGATCTCTTTCTTCACTTCCTTCTCAGGTGGGAAGTTCACAAGGGCACTGCGGATATTGTTATGTTGGAGTTATCTGTGGGTGGAAGGCAGACAAGTCTGGAAACCAGGACTGCATTTAGACAGCAATATATTAGGAGCCTGTCACAGTGGTGTATCTTTAATCCCAGCACTGGGGAGGCAAAGGCAGGTGGAGCTCTTGAGTTTGAGGCAATCCTGGTCTATTTATCACGTTCCAGGGCTACACAGAGAAACCCTGCTAGCAAAGCCCCCCCCCCAAAAAAAAAGCTCCAAGTATAGATGAGACCAGCATGAGGAGTTCCAGGAGGGAAGTCAGGACTTAGATGGAGTAGGGGCACTAGAATTTCTAACAGATCCTTTTGTTTTCCCTCTCCTGTTCTTAACATACTTCTCCCATTGTTTCCTGCTTCCCTCCCTCACTTCATCTCATCAAGGCTGTTTTCAGACCTGCCTCCTCATAGCCCACATTACCCTCCACCCTCTGTTTTTCAGCATGCTTTGTATGGAGGGAGGGAAACATTAGGAATGGAAGGGAGGGCAGTATTCTAGTAGGAGAACACAATCAGTGCTTAATTAATTGGTGATTTCCTGAGTAGAATCACCAGTAATCTAAATGTCTTTATAAACAAAAGCTTATTTTTGATTGGCAAATACTGTATGTATGTTATACTGTTAAAAATAACTTAAAAGGCTGAGCTTGTTGGATGGGACCGTTAGTCCCATTATTCCAGATGCAGAGGCAGGTGGATTTTGTGAGTTAGAGGCCAGCTTGGACAACATAGTAGGTTCTGGCCAGTCCCGTGACAAGGCTATACTTGGAATAGATGTGCAGATTTAACGCTAATGCACAAACTGATTTAGTGGGGCCCATTCTATATGGAGAAATACCTTGTCCAGCCTGGATGCAGGGGCGTGTGGGGTGGAAAGGTACCTTGGTCCTGCCTCAACGAGATGATGGGACAGACTTAGTAGATTTCCTAGGGGGAGGCCTTACTCTCTCTGAGGAACAGATGGGGGAGGGGGAAGTGGGAGGAGAGGAGGGAAGAAAAACTGGGATTGGAATGTTTAAAAACAAACAAAAAACAGATGTGCAGGGACTGATAGTGCGGTAGGGAACTGGTTTTGCCCTGTTTGAGGCCATGAAGTTTTGGTGTCTAGAGAAATGAAGTCACCCCCTGTTCTTCCAGAGGTTGTTTATTATAATTTATATGCTGGAAATTGTTTCCAAAGAAAAGTGTGTTTGCATAATATACCTATTTCAAAAAAAAAAGTTTTGAGACAGTCTCACTCAGTATCTCTTGGCTGGCCCAGAACTCCCAGAGCTCCACCTCTCTCTACTTCCCACCTCACCTGGTCCATTCTTTGGTGTTCTAAGTGAGAGCTTCATGTCTGATACAGGATACAGGACTTTATAACTAGGAATACATGAGGCAGGGTACAGATGACAGGTAGGTCTGGCAGCTGACATGGAGAATGACTGGGAAGCACTTGTTAGAATGGATATTCTACTTCAGTCACACTTTCTTCTCAATCTTCTCTATCATACCAGTTGGTCAGGTGAGGACCACCATCTGGGTGCATGGCTGTGTAGGCATAGTGTGTGCCCTTGCAGGCTTGTGCTTACTTGCATATCCTTTTTTCTGTCAACAGGACTGTGGAAACCACCAGCTTCAATTTGCTGCTGAAGACAGATGATGATTGTTATATAGACTTAGAAGCCGTGTTTAATAGAATTGCTCAGAAGAATCTTGATGGGCCTAACTTTTGGTGGGGAAAGTAAGTGAAACATGGACAGCCATTGGCTTTCAGTGTACCTAAGTGTAATTAATTTAGAATGGACTATGCAAGTTATTTTCCACAATGAAAATGTTGTGAACTTTCTTACTAAACTATTTTCGATTAGTTTGCTGTCACTATAATCAGAGGTAATTGGGGAGGGGGGGAGTGGTCTTCTATTGAAAAATCTCAGGCTTACTAGCCAAGAGTCAAAGATGTGGTTTTAGAAATGCATGGTCCTCTGAAGCTGTTGTATGATTTTTATTAGAATCATATATGACATATCTCCATAGCCATTGTCTTTGCTACTTCAGCAACACTGCAGGCAGGATTAGTGATTTGGTGGGTTTGGTTTCATTTGAATATGTACTGAAACACAGGGTGAGCTTCTCTTAGCTTCCATTAGGAAATTGAGAGCTTACCTAACTAATCTATATAAAGTACCATTGGCTAAATAATTCTTTTCCTTAGATGCAAGAATTTTTCAAAGGAATCTAGTAGATGGATGTAGCTATCCATCACCTTTGTAACATCTCAGTTTCAGGTTGAATTGGGCAGTGGACAGAACTGGAAAGTGGCAGGAGCTGGAATACCCCAGCCCGGCCTACCCTGCCTTTGCATGTGGGTCAGGGTACGTGATCTCCAAGGATATTGTTGACTGGCTGGCAGGCAACTCCGGAAGGTTGAAGACCTATCAGGTAACAAGATTACTCATTCAGGCCAATGTCCTGAGATGTTCCTCAAGCAGAGCCAGCTTACCACAGTTGTCCTAGCTCTGCAGGAATCACTCCCTAAAGGTCAGGGATGTGTTCCTGCCACCTCTCAAACTCTAGCCATGATGTCCATTCCTATATTTGAGCCTGTTTATACTACTTTTGGTCTTCATTTGTAAAGTGTATTCTCTGGAGGAATAGAAACACTTCTACTATAAAAAAGAAGCTAAAGAAGCGCTTTCTTCCTCCTGACCTGGTTATAGGGACCAAGTGTGCCCAGCTATTAGATCCACAGCACACAGTTTGCTATGTGTGCCCTGTCTCCCATCTGTAGCTTGCTCTTGTATATCTGGGTTGGCGTAATCTACATATGGCCTTGTCTTTACAAAAACATTAAAAAGTTTGCATTTGACCACGAGTAGGGTGAAGATGTCAGCATGGGCATTTGGATGGCAGCCATAGGACCTAAGAGACACCAGGTAAGTGGGTATGGGGGTGTTGACTTCAGGGCTCTTGGAGGTGCAGGTGAACTTACATACTGTACATCCAACCTTAGGCATAAGAAATGAAAGCCTTCTGATGTCCCAGCTGTGCTCTGAAGTTGCAACACTCTACCTCATTATTCTTTAGAACAGTTGTCTAAATTTAAACCAAAAGGAGATGCTATGAATGTAAGTTCCTTACCCACAAAAAGGAATTAGATCTTTAGATTTCATCAGAAATTTCTTACAGTTTTTCAGTTTAGAATCTGTTGACTTGAGATTCTGGCCCATGACAGCGAGACCTCTCAACTCCTCTGACAGCAAACTTTTCTTGGAATTTTATTTGTAAGGAGCCAGAGGTGAAAATGTTTATGCAAAAACCAAAACTGAAGGTAGGAAACTTAGGGGCAGGAGGAACAGGCTTTTTTGCCTCACTTATACTGATTTCTGGATTCTTGCCCCTTGTACTTTGGTTGTAAAAGGTACAGAGAGCAGGACATGCAGTGCCTGCAGTTTAGAGCCACATCCACACTCACTCACTCACTTGGGAACAGGAATATATACCCAGTCAGCTCAACCTGAGTCCTATTGCTGCATCACACTCTCAGCCGTCTTAGCAAATCTGAGCATTGTGACCTGCAGTTTCCAAAGGCTGTTTATGGCACTTGTTAATGTATTAAGATCCTTTATTATGACTCTGGGCTGAAACAATCATAACAGGATGTTCACTTTGTCCTGTCCCATGGGGCACTGTCATTTTTAAATACTTCACATTGCTGACTTGGGCCTGCTGGAGCTGAAGAGTCTCTTGGACAGAAAGCTTTGTTCTCTTCCATGTACCAAGGCATTGGGCCCACTCTTCTGCCACGGGTGAGCCCCTCATTCTAGATGTGCTTTTGAGAGACAGGGATCACAAAATACCCTCTAGACACATGCTGGCTCCAGCAGCCCCTAGGCCCATCAGAATTACCATGGTTTTAAAACGTTTTCAGGGGTAGGCAATGGTGGCACACACCTTTAATCCCAGCTCTTGGGAGGAAGAGGTAGGTGGATCTCTGTGAGTCTGAGGCCAGCCATGGTCTACAGAGCGAGTTCCAGGACAGCTAGGGCTGTTACACAGAGAAACCCTGTGTTGGAAAAAACTTTTTTTTTCAGGTTATAGCCAGGATTTATTTGTGTTCTCAGATTTAGTGTGTTGTTACTCTGCTGAGCAGTGCAGTACTTGGGACTCAGGTCAGGAGTCTTGGACGTCTGTTCTTACAGTATAGTGACGGGAAGAACTCAACTTTGCTCTTATAGCATTTGTCACTCAAATGAGGTGACTTACAAAGAGTTGCAGGCATCCTATCAACACTGCTGCCACTGCTTTATGACCAACTCTGTGCCCTCTGTACTTTTATAGAATTGCATGTGCTGACTCTTGTGAGAAACTTAATTTATTTTAACTGACAACGTAATGATTGTGTGCATATTTATGGGGTGGTGTGGCATTTGGTGACTTTTAATCCTCACACTTTGGTTTCTGTGTTCATAGCCCCATGACTATGAAGCCATGGTGCTTTCTCAAAATCGGGCCACCCCCACCCCAAAATCTCATGAGTTGGCTCCGCTTTGGTAGAGTACATTTAAGTGTCTGTCTCACATGTATTGCTTCCTTATTCTGTCTTATATTTCAACAGGACAGCCTATGGCTGTGCGAGAAAACCTGTGAGACAGGAATGCTGTCTTCTCCACAATACTCACCACAGGAGCTGAGTAGACTGTGGGAACTAAAGGAGCTGTGTGGGGATCCTTGTCAGTGTGAAGCAAAAGTGCTGTGATCCCCAAAGACCAGGGACTGTAAGTCCAAGGAGACCCTTTGGCTGGTGTTGAGGTATAAGCGTATATTACGAGTGTTTGCACAATAATTAATCAGCTGATAATGTAGCATAAGTTTTTATTTATAGATTGGAAGATTATTTAGTACCAAATTATTTTATAAAAAATATTCCTAACTAACTCCTGATCACTGTAACTACTTAGTAATTCATCATTACCATTTTTGGTTAAACATGGCCACATTGTTGTAATAATTCCATTTAAATCTCAATCAGGATTATAAAATAGCTCTGTATAGCTTAATATGCTAGAAAGAACCTACAAAGATGTTGTGTGGCACTGGGGTTACACATACCAAAGTCTGGGTTGCTGGAAATACCAGTTTGTGAATCTCTGACATAGGGCAAACTGACCTTGAAAAGGAAATACTGTAACCTTAAGTTTACATAAGTACCATGTTTTTTTACCATTTAATGTAAATCCTGAATGCCTCAGCTTAGCACTCTCTCTAAACTGTTTTTGTGAGTATGAGTAAAAGTAAACACCTCAGGGTTCAGTGTCACAGGGAAGTAGGGAAGGCACTCTGCCTTACCTGATGTTTACCTAAGCTTACGGAGGTGGTAATATGTGGAAGATAGGTTCAGTGTAGGTATAATGTAGGGGAAAGTATGTTGTACAAGAGTAGATGTGTTTCCCCAGTTTAAGGGACATTTCTCAGAATGACCAACCAAATCACTGCAGTGATTTTCAAATAGTTAAGCAGTCCACAGCAGATGTTAACTCTACTCATATTCACATTTTCACATAATAGAATGCAGTAAGCTGTGAAAACACATGTAGAAAAGTCATTAGCAATCAAAGCCTTTATTATTCTATTAATATACAACCAAATGGTCCTTTCCTAACAAAACATACATCCTTTGTGAGGGCGAAGTTTTTGTTTCTGGTGTATACAACATTCCAGTTGGATTGTTACCATCGCACTAGTAGACAATCTCCATTCTCCACAGAATAAAACTGTAATGATTGTAGGTCATTTCCTAGCTCAATTTCTTTGCCTGGCATCTAAAACGAGAACAAAGTAGGGAGGAGTAAGACAGATCTGATGATGCATGTTGTACATGCTGCCCTCCAATGGCAGGTAGCTTGAGAAGTCAAAATGCTGCCTCCGTTTAGAATGTGTGGTTCATGGTACTGTGGAGAACTAAGCTTAGCATTTTTGCTTAGCAACTTACCTTGGGACTTTCATAGGACAACAGAAGTTCTGACACAGGAACTTTGAGAAGACGTGACAGCAGTCCCTTTACCTTTTGAACTGTCATGGAATCTATCAAAGAAAAGGAAAATTCATTTTTCTCAAATGATGACTATGTGTAGAAACAGCTCAGATGAGACAGCATGATCTGTCCTTTCTTAGCATTGGTTTAACCTAAGATACTAAGTGATGAAGGTTTGAGTCATTAAACCATTGGTCTTGACAGAGATGTGTCATACCATTTCAGTAGCATTTAACATTTCTTCCTCTATCTGAGTAACCAGAAATCATCTCACTGAGGAGGAAAACTATAAGCCTTTGTGATAACTTCCTAATGGGTTGCTAAAGATCCCATGAGTGGGGCCTTGAGGACACCTCTCAGCCTTATTTTCCCTCTAGAAGATAGTACAAACTTAAGTGGTTGATGAGGTCCCTCCCAGAATGAGCATCCAGTCACCATCAGGATGTGCACAGGTTTGGGAAGGTAACTCAGAAAAGCAAGTGCTCTGATTTATTCAGAACACAATAGGAACTTCTTTCCAAAGACAGGTTGTAGTACATAGTGGGTATTTTGATTAAGAATATTAGTTCCTCTGAAGCTTTAGCTGAAAGTACAGCAATAGTGTGGTGATCCCACAAATATCACAACGTGGTCAACTATTTTTCTATAAGAATTGTTTTTTTTTATAAAAAGCTGTGTTTTTATGCAACTTGTGATAATAAATCTTCTCTATTTTAGAATAAAATTAGCCTTTTCTTGTTTGTGACCCACTTCCACAGCCATACTACACTGAATGTGCCTGATCTAATTTGCTGTGTCTAGAGGAGGAGGCTGGGTCCCAGACTGAATATGGACGGGAAGGGGAGAAAGCAGGTTGAGTTGTCAGCATAGATTTGCTTCCATAACATGGAAATGATGTGGCTACTGCCACATTCCCACCAGTGTCTTTCCTGACATGAACATCCTTACATTGCTTAGGTTGCATATTTTTGTGAGCAACAGGTAAAAAATTAATGCACACTGTTAATTTATCATTACATGCCACAGTAATTGAAAGAGAGAAAGAGAAGCTGGCCCTAAATGGATGGTTATTCAGGAAAATACTCTTGATTGCAACTAGCCTTCCATGAGCCATATAATGGGCAAGCTTGTTTTGTCCGACGAACATGGATGTAAAATCAGTGAGTTCACTGCACTGGTAGGCAAACAGGGAAATATATTTATTGGAATCAGTCAGACTCATGTTTCCATTTCTTCAAGTGCCCCCTGGCTTTAAATCTAACCCACCAATATTTAACTGTTGCTCAAGTCCATCTTGAGAATTCACAGAATTGTGTCATGCTAAAAAAATAGGCTGATTCTTCTGAGTGTAAGTCTAAGGTCAATTATATTTATCCAAAAGCATTTATTTTCCTAATATTAATTCAGTTCTAGTAGTACAAATGTTTTTTAAAGGATCTGAAAAAAAATTTCTCCCCAAGTGGTTTAAAAGCACTGACTTCTCTCGTGATCAGGAAATCATCTCAGAAAAGCCAGACACAATCAATCTGGGAGCTTAAATACATAGGTGTGGGAAGTATTCCTTTAAGGGACTAAGTATTCAAGTCCTCACACTTGTGACTGCACCTGGGAGGTAGGTATCTGAGTTCAAGGCCAGCCATAGTAACACAATAAGATCCTGTTTTAAAACAAAAACAAACCCACCACCAAAGGCAGGGAAGCTCACAAATTTTAATAAAACCACTTTCCAGATAAGCCGATGGCATACTGGAACTTTATTATGTTTTAGATTAAGCACTAATGAAATAATTTTAAGTTCTGAGGTCTATAGAAACTAAAGGCTAACATTCCATCTAGTTCTAAGCTAAGCCAATGCTTTACACGTATTTGAACAGCAGAGACAGGCGTGCTCTTACCTGGCAACTGCTTTTCTAATACTTTCTGTTCATGTTGGTTTGAGCATTTTATCTTCAGTGCTTTAAGGAAAAAGGGGAAAAAATTAATAACCACCATACCAAGTATTTACAGCATGAATGCATATAGAACTGCGACTCTGAGGTAGAGTACATATTTTGTATACTCAAGACCCCCAATAAGTAAAAATGTGCAGGCCAAGAGATCACCAGACAATACAGCAGTTTGGCACAACTTGGCTCAATCCTCATATATGGGTCTTAATGATGTTAAAATTTTCTATTAATATTTCCACGAAGCTAGGTGTGATGGTGCACACCTGAAATTCCAGGCTATAATCCCATTTTGAAAGGCTGTGGTAGGATTGCCATAAATTCAAGTCCAGCTATGAGATATCTCAAAACAAAAAGCAAAAGGTCAAACATATCATGGTCCCAGAACTAGGGAGGCTATAGAGGAGAATAATGAGTACAAGGCAGCTTGGGTTTATATAAGATCACATCTCAAACAGGTGACCCAGCATTCTGTCACTTTTCCCCCCTCCATACTACTTCCTGACAGTTTAGCTAGGTTCTGTATGTAAGACACAGCACAGGATTGCACATTACAGCGTATTTCACTACTCTTCTCTCTCCTACACCTAGAAGGCTATTCAGAGTCTGCATCATAGGAGCAGTCAGAATGTTTAACATAAACTGGGTGAGTCTGAGATCATTACTCCCTAAGACAGTAGTTCTCAACTGGGGAGAGGGGGTGTTGTCTTGAACAATCCTTTCACAGGGGTTGCCTAAAACCACCAGAAAACAGATATTAACATGTTTCAAAACAGCAAAATTACAGTTATGAAGTAGCAATGAAATAATTTTATGCTTTGAGGGTCACCATGAGGAACTATGCTAACAGGTTGCAGCATTAGGAAGGTTGAGAATCACTGCTGTAAGAGAAACATATTTCATCCCTATTAAGCAAGTCATCACCATGTACTTCACATCCAAGACCCCAGTATAAAGTAGGTATATGAAAGGATTCTTACTTAGTAAAGACCCCAGTACAAAGCAGGTATATGAAAGGATTCTTACTTAGTAACTGATTTTTGAGCATGAATGGCTGCTCTGTTTTGAGTTCCTCATCTTCAGGTGCACCATACTCTGTTTAAGAAGAAATAAAAAGGGATGAACAGTAAGCTAGAGGCCACAGTAGAGAAACAATGTAGTGTGACCAAAGCCTCTCCCGGGATCAACCTAGCATCACTGATAAATTATATTGGGATTAGCCTCCTCCTATAGAACTGCTTGTTGGGTAGTTAGGAGAGATAAACAGCAGCCACTTCCAAGGAAGATCATCTCTGTGACAGTGTGTTCCTTGCTTTCAAAACCTTTGAACTTTTTAACTTGGTTTCAGTTTTGAAAATGCCTTTTCCTTCAGGGTCCTGAGAGAAACTAGGTATGATCTGTACAGAAGTCATAGGACCTTGTCAGGGTTTAGCCATGCTGCAGACCAGTTCCTGCAACACAGGCAGGAACTGCAATTCCCTTATCTGTGGAGACACATCCTAGGACCTCAGTGGATATGTGAACCTGAGTACCATTAAATAAGCCTTATTTCTATGTCTTTAAGTAACACATACCTATGACCCATTAGACACTGTAGGAAGCTAACAACCACACCAAGGTGCTGTGATGGATGTGAGCCTGCTCTTTGAGAACATCTTTACTTTCAAGCTTCAGTAAGTCCATTTCACAGCTTCTCTTTGAATTTTAAGAACCATGGCACTGGATTCATCTGTGTTTGGAGTATTTTCAAGTCACAACACTTGTCACAAGCACTGTGACACCCTGCTGGTCTATATGCTGAGTCACCGAATGACTCAGGACAGGCAGCACATGTGGCATGGAATACTACACGGAGGCAGTCTTGTATACCACACCACTCAGAATGGTATGCAATTAAAACAATGAGTTATTGATTTCTGGAATTCTCCATGTAATGTTTGGACTTAGGGAGAATAAAGGTAAGTGAAACTGCAGAAAAGGCTGAACTACTTACTGCCCTTCCCTGCTGCCCTTGGTCAAGTGGTATTAGTTTCTTTGTACATACATGCCAGTAAGAAGCTGAATTACATGCACCTGCTGGCTGCTTAGAACCTTCCCTTCCCCACCCTCAAGTGACTCAGAATTTACTTAGAGCAGACAGAAAATTGGGTCAACTAATGGAGTAATTTGAAAGCAATTCCCACAGGCAGCTTGTCTTCGTGAGATAATACTCCAGCTGAAGCATTTATGCAGTGAGCTGCTTGCACTGGAAATATGTGAAAAGAAAAATGGCCTAAAGGTGAACCACGGAATGATGAAATGACAAAGTCAAAACCAAGTGAAAATTACACTGGGACATAATGACCAATCCTGTGCTTCAGAGCCTGAGGCCCAGCTAGCTAGCGTGCTAAAGGCATACTGTGAACACCAAGGACCAAACAACACAGGACAAGACCTCAGGATGGGACTTGGGAAGAACAATACAGTTTATGTGTGAACTTGCTGTGCTGGGAACATTAAAAAACACCAGCACTTGAGATGACCTGGAGTAGCACCAATCATTGCAAAGGGGCTACCCACCACCAGAAACTGAGGGTCTCTGGGGAATACTTCCAATTTACTGTCTGTTTTTAGCTCACTGATGTGGTGCCAGGAAAGTGCCTACAGCCTCATCAAAAAGGGAACAGATAGCCCCCAAAATAGAAAAGGCAAACACTGAGCCTTCCTGATCTACCACATCAGGGCCCTGTTCCAGCTGGAGTCCCCACCGGCTACCTGAACGTACTGCAGCAAAGAAGCTGGTATCTAGGATGGGCTGAAATAAACTCTGCATTTGGCCTGTTTTTGTCTGGATCTGGATGTCCACCAGCCCTTTTCCATTCAATTCCAAAGGTTCTTCGGTAATCAAGCTCAGCTCCACGCCTTTCTTCTGGAAAAATCTGTGTTGATGTAAAATAGAAATGTGTCATCTTCCAGTGAACTGCTCATGTTTTTACCCAGTCCACCCTCTGGTACTCAAGCACAGACAATACAATTGTTGCCCTCTACCCTGAGCTAAAATCCTAACCATCCTGTGCCTTCCTTTTCTAACACAACTCAAGTTTATTCAAGAATTCCAAACTGGGTATGGTGGTTCCTACCAGTAATCCTAGCACTTAAAGACAGCTAATGCAGAACTGCATGGAGTTCAAAGACAGCCTGGGCTAGAGACTCTCGTTTCAAAAACAAAATTCAAAGTATATTTTAATTCAAGAAAGACTGGTCGGGCTGGAGAGATGGCTCAGAGGTTAAGAGCACTGACTACTCTGTCAGAGGCCCTGAGTTCAATTCCCAGCAACCACATGGTGGCTCACAACTATCTGTAAGAGATCTGGTGCCCTCTGCTGGCCTGTAGGCATACATACAGACAGAATACTATATACACAATAAATAAATAAAACTTTAAAAACAAACAAACAAAAAAAAGACTAGTCATTATATAACCCTGAAAACTTACTTACATCCCCCAAGAACTTGCACATTCTTTTACAAAACCAATATCCAGGGCTAGCAAGATGGCCAGCAGTTGAAGCCCTTGCTATAGAGCCTAATGACCCTTGTTTAATCCCTGAGATCCACATGGTAAAAGTCAAAAACAAACTTCTGCCAAGCTGTCTTCTGATCTTCATATGCCCACAAGTACACATGGCCCTCTCTCCTTAATTCCTTAAATTCCAGTTTTTAAAAAGATTAACTTTATGAATATTTCTGCTGAATTTATGTACTGTACTGTAGTTATGCCTGTAGTATCTGAGGAGGC